GGTTATGGAGGTGGTTTTGATGGTAGAAGTTGAGGTAATGGTAGTAGGTGGTGGGAGGTGGTGATAGAGGTGGTGATAGAGGGGGTGGTAGAGGTAGTAGAGGTGGTAGTAGAGGTAGTAGAGGTAGTGAAGAAGATTAAAGAAAGGAGGGGTAAAATACTTAGATAGTTAGTAGGAAACTAGTTATTACAGTACTATGTAATACTAGTAGATTAATAGAAGTAGAAATAAAAGTAGTTTGCTTTTATAGAATACATAGTATAATAAACCCTATTTAGGTTTACTTCTTCTACCTAAACCACTTCTTAGTCTACTTTAGATAAATATGGCTACTGTAAACTGGTTTTGTACTGTAGTGATTGTCTTTTGCTAACACATTATAGACCCTCTCGGCCAACTCACAACGGCGAATAAGCCATGAGGTTAGTTGAGTCTGTCAGAGTCCACTTGAGTGATCACAGCTTCATGGAACTTGGATGTATCACTAGAGTGCCCGACTCTACCGCATGCTCGTTTACTGTGGTACTCGAGTCAGGTTCAAAAATTGATTCATGCATCAAAATCCATGCCGTATATTCTCGCAGTATCACGTTCAGCCGGCAGCGTGTTAACAGCTCCCCTTGGAATGATGCAGAAGAAATATCACGCGGATCAAGATGAGTACTGGCCCACGAGCCATCTGACGCACATCAGCAAGATCGCCATCCAAAGAGTCGTGGTTTGCATTATTTATACTCGTATCCTGATATCTCGCCAACCAGTACATATTGGTTTCACACTTGCAAGCCATTGGTCATCTCTGGACTGTCATGTTCTCGTCACCTTGAGGCTGATTTTATGTGATTTCCGGCACAGAAATTAAGGTTGTGCTCACCAGATCATATGTGGTTCTTTTATTCTTGTTACAGCCAAGCATTGCATGGCAAGATGAAACCTATTTGCACATGATGTCCACGTTTCAACCACTAATAAAACTGGATATTGTATCCACACATGAATACCTATGTCAAGCAGGAATGATTCTCGTCACGTGACATCAACCTGGACCCCAAACCCTGGCCCCAAGTCGCTCGGTCATTCGGGTGAATAACACAGCGAATTACACAGTAACATCTCCCCCACCACCTCATCAATCACATTTCCACCCTCAACAGCAAACACATCAATAAAAAATGTCCACATCCAACAATCCCCTAGACTCCACAATCGCGTTTCCACTATGGGACAACGAACCCATTGACGGCGCCTTCACCCTCACTACCCCAAATGGCCTCGACACAGCCGTAGTCTCCAGCGTCTCCCGCCCATGGCTCTTTGGCTACGAACCCACGCTGCCCAGCGCCCATCGCCGCGCCATTTTAATCACGGGCGGCGGCGGCTACGTCGAACTCATGGTGGGCCGTGAAGGCATCAAAGTGGCCAAATGGCTCACCAGCCTTGGATTCTACGCCTTTGTCCTAGTCCATCGATTTCCCCATGCCCAGACGGGCGCACAGGCGCCCGTGGACGATGCGAGGCGCGCCCTGCAGATATTGCGAGAACGTGGGTTTGCGGAGCAAGGGGTTGCACTCTGCGGGTTAAGTTCTGGTGGCCATCTTGCAGCGAGTCTATTAGCTGGTTACCCGGCCTCCTGGACGCCACCACGCACAGTTTCAACGGCTGCGGACAGTACAGTCATGGTTCATATTCCGTTTGCTATTATAGGGTATGCGCCCATTTCTACGAATGCAGTCGGTCGACAGATTATTCCTAATAAGCCTCCACTGCCCCCGGCCGAGAAACAGGCCCTCTACGATGCTGTGCAGCCAGATGTACAGCTTCTTGTCCCGGCCCCCCCGACCTTTATTGTGTATGCTGGCAACGATCCCGTGGTGCCAGTGGTGAATGCGTATAGACTGGCCGAGGGCGTGGGCAAGGCTGGCGGACTAGTTGAGTTGCACGTCTTTGGCGATGCACCGCATGGTTTTGGTGTTGATACCGTGGGGCAACCGGTGGAAAGGTGGACAGATTTGGCTGAAGCGTGGATGAGGCAGGGAGGGTTCTTGGGATAACGGCGGGTCGACCAAAATAAAAAGCGCCAACACCCTTTATGAAACAAGACCTGGGAAAACAATATAAAGAGAAATGGTGACGGTTAATCCTCGTCCTAATATAGCGATCTGCGCTTCAACTTCGTTCTGCGTAGCGTTAGTCGACATGGTTCAAGAAACCGCAAGGAAACCTCTTACTGGACTTGAGCTCCCCAGCTCCTATGCCGCTTCGCCTTGACATTCTTGCTAGTTGCCGTCCGCGGTCTCCTGTCTTCTTGGGCATTGTTCTCTGCATAGTACCGCACATTAGTACTGTCAGAGCCAGAGGGCTGCATGCTTTCTGGCAGTGCTGCTGTTGCTCGCGACGGCTTTTCCGCCCCTGGATTCACAGGGGCCGATTTTACCGTCGCTGTGGCCGGGCGAGACATTGAGTCGGGAGTCATGTGCGCAAACGCGTTCCTCATCCTTGACCTGTCGAATTGCTTGACCTTTGCCTCTTTGACAGGGTCCGCGCCCGAATCTTCCACATCCATGTCGTCTTTCTGCAACATCTTCTTCATTCTATCCCTGAGGCCTAGACCTGTCCTTTTGAACGTCTTGGGCTGCTCAGAATCCGTTTCAGGGCCAGTGTTGATAATCGTGTTGCTCAAGATGGATGGCCCATGTGATATGCTGTGGGCTCGTGGGCGTGTCGTATGCCCAGTTGGCTGCGGGCTTGATTGGCGAGCAAATGTCGTACGACCAGACTCGATCATACCGTGATTTGGCGAGTTGCCCCGCGGGCGGCGGTGATATGTATAGTGAGCCTCAGTATTGACCAGCTCGGAAATCCGTTGCCTAAGACTGCAAATCTCGTCCTGATCCTCAGTATGGAATCGAATCGCAGCAGCAATCTCCCGTCGAAGGCGACCCACGTAGCGGTCAACATTTGCAATGGATTTCTTGTGGCGTCTGATCTCTGAGTCCTTGGCCGCGATGAGGTCTCGAGCCTCTTCTAATTCAGCCTGCAAACGGTCCAATTGTGCTTTGTGAATCGTGCTGGGTCGAGGATTGTCCAGACTGTGTTTTCTAGCTTGTTCGAATCTGACTTGCTCGCGGAGAGCTTCCGCCTCTTGTGCAGTCGAGAATAGCCTTGCGTTAACGTCGCGCAACCTCTTCTCTAGGACTGTCACCTTCTTGTTGAGCTCAGAGTTATTTTTTTGCGCGGCATCAAGCTCTGCTGCGAGCTCGCTCTTATCATTGTCGTCCTCTTCAATGGTGGGTAATCTACCTGGACCTTGTTCCTTGTTGCTCTTGTCATTGGCCTCACCCCCATATCTAGAGTACCACTGCTCGCGGAGCTGGGCATTCAATTCTCGCTCCTCTTGGAGTGCAATCTGAATATTCTTTGATATATCCCAAGCCCGCTTCAGCTCTGCTTGCTGATTGACAACAGCTTCGTTCGATTTCTTGGCCATTGCCAATTCTTCCTTGAGTTGAGAAATGACCTGGTCCTTGTCTTGTGTGATGTCTAGAGATTGGCGACCCTTTTTCACCTTGAGCAACCTAACTTGAAGTGCATGATCAATGTCTTCCTGCTCATGTAAGGTGCCTGAAAGCTTCCAGACTGCCAGTCGGTCCTTCAACAAGTTCAGTTGTTCCTCCTTAGCCTGCAGTGTGGCCCTGTGTTGAGTTTCCATCTCTTCGAACTGAGCGTCGCGCCGAGCTAAATTCTTCTCTCTCTGCTCGTTGATTTTCCGCAGCGCAAACAGTTCAATGTCTTTCCTGTATACAATTGCCTGGTGGTCTTGTAGTAAGGCTTGTTTGACGGTTTTGAGCTCTTCACACACTTTGGTATACTCGCCAAATGTTTCGTCAAGTGCTTCGCGTGCGTTTTTGAGCCCTTGTCTCGCGACGCGCAACTGCGTCTCTCTTGCTTTGTTCGTTGTTTTTCCTTGGGTGACGATTCGTTGTAGGCGCTGAATTTCTCCCTCCTTGGGATCAGAAGCACTAGGCGGTGAATCATAAACTCTTGACTGCGTGGCAAAACTTGGTCCCTGCTGTTCATATTTGGAAGCGATCGTTTTGGTTTCCTGCCCCGAGGGGCGCGAATTGGTCGTATCATGGCTCATGTCGGAGTGCATGGTTTCGACAGCCAATGGTGGCTTGGAGGTACCTTCTGATTCGACCACAGAAATGGCGTCTTGCGCCTCGAAGTTTGACGGGCGCTGAAACATGGCACAAACTTCTTGTCTGGAGCTAGAGAGACTGGAATGGCTCGTTGATAGCAGTGTTTTGCCGTCTGCTCGCCCCGTTATTGGATTGCGCAACAGAGACTGACCGTTGTTTGGCGAATAGGTACAACTGAGAGCAATTGGCTGAAATGTAAATGCTGTGCCCACTCAGGAAATTTGCAGTCAGGTGGAGTAATTTGTATCAATCACCTGCAGTCTACAGTCAATCTTCTGTACTAGACTTTGTAGAGGCTTGCAGAAGAAGCCGAAAAGTCAAAGTATTGTTGGTTTGGATCCGGTTCGTGAAACGGTCATGGATTTGTACTATCTCATGTAAGAATAGTTGCGCACACTCACCTGGCATGCAACGTTCAACGGGGATCACAACAGTAGTGGGTAAGTGTTGGACTAATTATTCGTCAAAACCATCAGGTCTTATTGGGATTTTCGTCCATTAAAGAATAATGGACTTGTTTAATCATGAATAAAAGAAGACGATGACTGGCCATTATACGGAAAGCAAAATATGAGGACTGAAGTGACGTGAGCAAAGGAAATGGGCCGACGATTCCCATCATGCAGCCGTAAACGGGCATTTTCGCAAAGAAGCAACCAGGATAACCTTTCAATAGACTGAAAGGACCCCGCATGATTAAATCTCAAAGTGCCTAAAGCCCTCGACCAACCCGTCACTAATCTTGGAAGGTATTGCCCAAACGGGCAGATAATGCAAAACTTCAGTCAGGGCAGGGATCTCGCCTGCATTTGCATCTGACCACAGACAGATGACTTTTCCAGAAAACCTTGAATGTTGTCTAGCGTCCCAGGTTACGCTCACGTTCCAAGGCTGGGACCACTGGCGATGCCAGAGTCGTACCTCCCGGGATCCCATGGTACCGATAGGGTCGAAGCGGGGATCTGAAACACCGCCAGCAACGGCTAGATCTAGGATCGGCATGTCAAACACAATGCGACAGGCTCGGGTATTCTGCCCAACCAGGCGAATGGTCGCCTTGCTTGTGTTATTGCGTGGTGGCATGTCATATGACCATGGGTTTAGCGTCGGGCGACTTGGGCTTTACTCCGAGTGGTTAGAATATCCCTGTAGGTTCAAGTCCACGTCACAGCGGCAAATTTTCATGGTTATATAAACTAGCCCATGGTCAAGTATAAATTAGGGTAATTTAAGCAAGTAAACGCAGTTTTTATTACTATCTTTTTTAAACGTGTTCTAAACCTGTTCTTAATAATATATAGGCGTTCCTAAATACTATACTAGAGTTTAGTATAGCAGTACTAGACAACGTATCTAAACTAGATAGTAATATTAGAGATGAATTTAGGCAACTGTATAAAGTGCTAGAGGAGGATAGTAGTAGTAGCGTTAAGGAAGTAAGTAAAAGTAAATAGAACAAGTTTAGAACAGGTTAGTAACACGTTACAGGGGCACAATGTATACCTTACTTGTGGTAATAGTTAAGGACCACTACTTACACTAGCAATTATTAAGCATGCAGCTATTCTCCTAGCATACCCTTAATTACACAGCTAAGGGTATAGGTATATAATACTAGTTTAGCAACATAAAGATAGCTCTTACCTAATAAGAGAAGAGGTGCTTATACAGGCTACACAGGTAACACGTTAAGAACACGTTCTTAAATTGTTCTAATTCTAGTAGGTACAATACTCCTGCTAGTCTGTCTATCTTAACAGGCCTACAACTTTACTATTCTTTAATAGCTAGCTAGCAAGCTAGTATAAATACTAATGCTCTAGGGTAAAAGCGTGTAAGTATCTTAAGAACACGTTATAAACGTGTTCTTATTACATTATTAATAATATATTATATAATTAGATCTAAACCTTAAAAAGTGTAGTACCTAAGAAAATTCTACAAAGAGAACTACAAATAAGAAGCTATTATTATAGCCTTATTAAGCGCTTCTCTTTAAGGATTTGTAAGGACTACTAGGTATCTTGTTGTCCTGTAATAAGGACTGCAGTAAATTAGGTAGGGAGCGAAACTTAAACATGTTTAAAACGTGTTAATAATAAGTTAGCAAATTGTAGAACAGGCTTAACTATACATTAGCTATTAGAACTACAGCCTAATATCTACTACTAGGAAAAAACATTATTTTAGTTAGGTACCACTAGAGGTAGACTCTACATATCTATAAGGTCTTCTAACTAGGGAGATATTAAATCTTTCTAGTAGTCCTGCTTTATGTTCTGTGGTTAAGCCACAGTCAAGCTAGATAAAGAAGTGTGGTAGGTATATTGCAACCTATTCCTAACACGTTCCTAACATGTTCTAGGCGTTAATTATCTATAAGGGCAAGGATCTCTATTTAAAATCCTATGTAAAGTTACCTTCTAAGTAATTATACTAATAGATATAGTAGCAATACCTTTTTTTGCTATTATTTCTTTTAGTATATATATATATATACCTCCTCCTCCCTTAACACTATCTAATAGTAATATTAAGGAAGTAGTAAAGGTGTTGTGGCCTATGCTTACTCCGCAGCTTACGTAATATAAGTTGTTTGTAACCTATTACAAACGTGTTCCTAACTTGTTATAGCCTAGTTCCTAAACTTAACCTAGCTCTAAACCTATCTCTAACTTAAAGGTTTCTATTCTATTAAAGAAATGCATATTAGCTTCGCAAATAAAGATAAAATCTTGCGTATTATAAAGCGTGAAAAGCTTCTACAGTTCCTATTTAAGAGTAGCCTTAGAGGAGTATACTATAAGTAGAGGACAAAGCATTAGGATCCTAAAACTATACGTGGTGTAAGAGAATAGGTTTAGAACACGTTGCTAATACGTTACTACAGGCGTATATACAGCAAATCTTTATATTAAGCTTAGGTAACTTAATTATTTGCCTTTTTAAAGAGCAGGCATTAATTCTATTAGATTAAGACACGTTCTAGATAGATATATTATATAAGAGGTTGTATAGGGCATAGGCAGAGATTCTAATAGTAATCTTCTACCTACAGGAAAAGAAGCGTACGCATTAAGAACAGGTTTGTAACACGTTTCTAACACGTTACAGTTATTACACTTAGCTAAATTATTATAGATAAGGATATAACTAAGATGTATTAAGTTGCTATTACTAACTTCTTTTAGAAGTGTAAAGCACTTACAAAAAGATAAGTGTTATAGAGGCATATTTACTTATAGGGATTCTATAGGACTACTATTAACATATATAACAAGCAGATAATAGGCAAGTTTTATAGCGCACTGTAACATGTTTATAACGTGTTTCTAACTTGTTTCTAGGACTTAGGCGCTATCTCTAGTTAATTAATCCCTATAAGCGTAACTAGCGCTAGCAACTTTAATCTTGTATAAGATTTTGTTAAGTATATCTACAAAGAAGTATTTACAAAGCATGTAAAAGAGAGCTAGATAATACTACCTCTTTATATCTAAGTGAATTACTACAGGCATTAATAGCAGAGGAATACTTTTAGCTTGCTAACCTCCTCTTACGTAAGTAAACATATTCTAAACCTGTTCTAAACGTGTTCCTAACTTGTTCTTACATAATTAGAACACAAACCCTCTAAAGATGCCTAAAACTAGGCAATCTATAAGAAAAACCTAGTAATTGCTGCTAGGATTGTGTAATGCTGTAGTAAAATATTAAAAGAGGTATAGGAAAAACTAGAATCTTATTTAAATATAGCTAAGCAAGCAGGCCAGAAAGGATATAAAACTAGTAAGCATGTAAGTATTCTTAAGGCTACTTAGAAGTAAGTTTATAACCTATTCTTAACCTGTTAGAATTGTATAAGTAATATTATGTAGTGCACACTAGATGGATCTATAGGATATAAAAGAGTTTAAAGCCTAGAGCAAGTTTAGAATACGCTATAACTATAGAACTCCTAATAGGCTTAAGTAAAGGTACCTTAAAAAGCTTTAGAGGGGAGAAAGTAAGTCTTACGCTAGTGTTATATATATTTGCTAATTAAAATATATTTAGAATATATTTAGAACACGTCCTATAATAATAATAACACTCTAGATAATAATAAAGCAAGTCTTGCTATATCTAACTTAACTAAATATATCTTAGTCCTAATAAGAAATAAAAGAGCACGCTTAAAAGCCTAAAGCTAGAGGGCAAGTAGTAGAGCGGTATTAGAAAGAAGTTTACTAGCCCCTTTTCTATCTTCTCTACTACTAGGCTCTTCTCCTCTACTAATAGTAACCTAAAGGTATACTTTGCAAAACATGTTTATAACACGTTCCTAACTTATTATTAGTCTATAACTATAAACTTTATAACAAAAGGCTCTTCTTAGTAATTAGGCTCTAAAGGAGAGAAAAGAAAAGCTAGAGGTAGATAAGGAAGAACTTATATAGAAAAAGGCACTATTTAAATTGCAAAAGGCACAGTTTAAACTTAAGAAAGAGATAGCTACTTTTTATGCAAGGTAGGGTTAGTCTATAAATATAGTAACTAGTTCCTAACTAGTTCTTAATATATTCTAGTCTATTACATAAGCATATATAAGCGGATAAATATATATTCTTTCTTCTTCTCTTTCTTCTTCTTTCTTCTTACACTCTACAAGAACTTTTTATATTTAAGAGTTTAATACTATTTTACTATCTATCTTTCCTAATATTATTAGATATAACTAGTTAATATAGTCTACAAAGATCTTTTAAAGTTAGTATGTAATAGAACGCGTTAGGAACACGTTGTGAACTTGTTCTAATACTAAGTAGGATTTATACTAGCGATATATTAAGCTTAAGTTACTTCTATCTAATACTAGGGTATTCTCTCCTATAATATCCTACCTAAATAATAGGTGTATAGTATTTCCTAGCGAGCTTTTCTGCTAGGCTATTTAGGCTAGATTAGGGGTACAGGAACTTTGTAGAGTATGTATACATACAAGTTAGAACACGTTTACAACATGTTAACAACTATTTTAGCGTTGCTTCTCTAATAGAGGCAATCTTATCTACTACCTTAAGAGGTATTATCCTAAGGTTTAAATAGCCCTAGTAAACTATAGTAGAACTATAATATAAGGCATTGCGGAAGCAAGGATCTTCTATAGGAGCTTAATAGTAAATGCTTAAGAATATATTCTAAACACGTTAATAATACGTTCTCTACTAGTAGAGCAGACTGCACTAAGTGCCTCCTCTAAGGTTTAAGAACCCTCTAAGATAGCTAGTCTATAATAAGAAGTGGTAGCTAGAGTAGAGGCTAAAGAGGAAGCAGAGAGTAAAGAAGAGGAGCAAATAGTTGCTCCCCTTTACACTGTAAATAATATTTAGCGAAAGTAGTAAAAAGAAGATATAAGTCTAGTCTCTTAAAACACGTTTAGAACATGTTAATAATATATTATAGCTAGACACCTATAAATACTAGATTCTTCTTTAATCTAAGGGACTGCTAGAGCTTTATAATACCTATAAAAGTTAAAAGAAAAAGTTATATACTATTAAAGGACCCTATAAAAGTAAATAGTACTTTACTTTTAGTAGATAGAAAAAAAAAGAGAAGAGTAGAGAGTTTATTTTAGTAATTACTACTACCCCTTTAGGTTATGTGCTATTGTATATTATTTATTAGAACCTATTCTTAACACGTTCTTAATATGTTCCTACTTATTGCTATTATTATCTCCCTCCCCCTCTCTAGTATCTTCTCTATCCTCCTTATCCTCCCTAGGCTCTACAAAAGCATACCGCAAGTAGAACTAGGCGGCATTCTAGCAGGAATTAGCAAGGTCTATACTAGTATTAAAGTAATAGTCTTAAAACACGTTAGGAACAGGTTAACAATATGTTGTGAACAACTTACTATAGCTAGGATAATTATAAGCGTAGATAGTATAAGGAACCTAATAACCTTAAATCCTTAGTAGGGTAGATATAGTAACAAAGTTAAGCTATAACAAGTTAGCAACGTGTTTTTAATAGGTTCTTGCAGGCTATACCTTATTACTATTATAGCTAGTGTAAGTCTTCTTCTAAATTATATTTAGGAGGGTATTAGTATTTACTAGGGGGCCTATAGTAGCTACTAGCTAGGCTTAGAGAACTTCTGCAAAACACGTTAGTAATAAGTTTTAAACATATTCTAAATAACTTATAGCAAGGAGTGTTCTAGTAATTATATATAACCTTTATATAGAAGTCTATATATATTAGCATAACAAGTTAAGAATAGGTTAATAACATGTTTACTCTTTGCCTCGCGGACCTCTATTATAGAGGGCTAGCTAGTCTTCTTAACCCTACTAACCTTATAGTAGGCTATATTAAGCCTATAATCTTTTTTAGCATAGGTATATAGAGTGCCCCTAGTACCTAGAATAGCCTAAGAATATTAGAACCTATTTAGAACACGTTTAGAACCTATTCTTACTCTATATAAGGTGCCCTTGTTGTTAATCTTAGTATAGCAGTAGCGCTCTCCACTCTCTATCTTAACTACCCTATTAGGGCTAACCACAGGCTATGCCCTAATATTATCTAGGACGCAGCTAAGGGCGAGGTACTATTAATAGTGCTTCTATAACCTGTTAAGAACACGTTCTAAACACATTTTAATCTGCTTACGTAGGATAAGAGGGATGCGTTAGTAATAGGCATAGCGGCGGCGGCTTGTGGTGTTACTAGTATAGAATGTGTTTAGAACAGGTTTAGAACGCGTTGCAAAATCTTACGGCATGATGTTTGGTTAACCTCGCTTAGCTAGCTAGTGGAGCTTGGCACGGCCTAACCCCATGCCGAATACGAGTTCACGCAGCGCTAATTCCATGGTCATATGAACTGCGCCCTCTGTTATTGCTATCATCGTGGAAGATCTCATAGTCGATCCAGTCGGTGGCACGAGTCTTGTTGCTGTATTGTGAGGTTGGAGAGACAACATTAGGATGGAGACCCTCCCATTCGCACATGCGCAATTCTTTGCGCGTCACGATGTCCGGCGTACTGCAGTTTAGTGAACTTTGCTGTGCACTCGGCATATTACCTGCAATGCGCTGCACATATCCGTCCAGTCCGGTCAGGGATACCGTGTTGACACCCGTGTCACAGTCGACCCGCTGAACAAAGTATACCTTGAGCTTGTGTTGCTCACTAAATGGAAAGGCAACGAGGTTATAAATTGTCGTTGCAACACATAACAAAAATAAAAATGTGGGGACGTGATGGGTGAAGCGATGGATGAACGGTCCAATGGGTGCGACGAGGAATACGGCGAGCGCGGCAATCGACGTATAGATGTATAGAGGTGAGTTGCCATCAGATGGTGTTTGGTATAGGGCCGAAGTCAGCAACAAGGCGATTTGCCCAACCAGGATGACGATCATGGGCGCGAGCAATGAGAATTGCACGATCCAGATCCAACTTGGCAATTTCCCACTCCACTCTTGTTCTCCAGAATGCGGCTGCCCAAGATCTAGCCGTCGGCGTGACTCCGGCTCTTGACTGTTAGCTCCCTCATTTATTGCGTCGCGTCTACCAGCGTCGTGCCGCGCAAAGCTGCGACGATTGCCGCTCAACAGTGAAGTCGTTTCAGTTGCGTCATCGTCTGTGGTGGCCCGATTGTCGGACCGTGCAGCAGTTGCACTGCTAGTGAGCGGTCGACTACCTCCATCTGCATTTTGATGTACATTCCATGCATAGGCAGATTTGGGTGGAGCCAAAAACAGTTCCAAGAAAGACAAAACGTTGGCCAAAAAGACTGTCGCAAAGCAGAACAATGAGGGATACCCGGCAGCGACTTGATGATTATTTGCGAGAATAGTGAAAAAGACAAGTAGACAAAAAGAACCGATGAAAAGCCAAAGTAAAGAATACATACGCTGCAGTGCAGAGGGTCGCATCGCATCGGCTCCATGCAAGAGGAACCAGGAAACGGCAAACCAGGCGGACAACATCATGCTAGATAATCCCGTTAGCATGCAACGCGAGCTGAAGTAGATCAGACTTGCCTCCAAATAGCGTATGGGCTGCTATATATGATAAATGGGTTCACCCTAACGACCAGGTACGCAAGACCGACAACAATAGACGTGGCAATGCCAAAGGCGATGGGAAACCGGAAGAATCCACGCCATCCGTATAAATGTATCGGTTCATCATCGTCAGCCGAGTATACGAATGCCTTGCGTGCAAAGAGGTAGTTTCTGTCAGCCTTGTGGAGAGACCAGGCAAGGCCAATCAATGTCAATGGTGCCACCACCAACAAGGTGACGCAAAGGGCAAAGAAAGTATGCAATTGGAAAACAATGAAGACTTTGCCAAAAATGTCAAACCACACGGCGTCGTCATGAGACTCACGATCAGGCGTGCTGGTATCGGCGGCAAGTCCCGAGGTCGTAGCAATTGCCGCAGACAGCATGTGCCAGACCGAGTTGAGCGAGGTTTCGCGTGTTGAGTCCTCGATTGTGTGGTATTTTGCTCTCGGCTCGATGAAGGCAATGTCCAGGCCTGCAAGGCCCAGTTCTTCGAAAAAGACCTTGTAATCCGTCTCGCTCCTGACGAGACCTTTTTTGAAGCCGTCGCCGCTGACGACTGTTCCAAAGGGATGTTCAGATTTGCGGTAGAATCGAGTTACATGCGTATCTGTGCTCCGGAACATTGCTGCGCGACCACCTGCTCCAGCACCCTCGAGATTAACAAATGTATGCGGAACCTGAGAGATGTCATGGCGCATGAAAGCCTTGGCTCCATTCAAAAAGTCTTCCTCGCCATTGTTCAAGAGGAGGACGACTGTTCTCTTTGGCCAATTCTTGGGTTCTGTGAAAAAAGAGAGAAGCTGCAAGACAGAGACAACGCCAACGCCATCATCAGTGGCACCGTAGCCGCTGCTTACAGAATCGTAGTGGGCGTTGACAAGGACGCCTCCATTATCGGGACGGCGGTTTCTGTCGTTGAATGCTTGGTCATCGTGAGATCCACGTACAGCAACGATGAGGTTGGTACCTTCAAAGTAGACTGTCGTGTTGCCGGAGGAGAAGGTGGCATTGGAAATGTTGTCATCTATAATCTGCACCTGATCACTGCCGAGCTTCTTTGAGGCCATCATGTGCTCTATGCGAGAGAGCAAGTAGGCGCGCACATTGTCATTAGCATGGCTGTTGTAGGGGTGAAATTCTCGTGTAATGTGCTCAAGATCGGACCAAGCTTGAGTGAGATTGATGCCTAGGGGTGGATGAGAAGGATAGCTGGGCAGCGTGAGATGGGTAAGGAGCAGGGCTATCAAGAGGGCAGTGTACGTGATGGTGATGAAAAAGACGACGGGACCAGACGTAAAGGCCAGGGGATTGTAGCGAGCCATGTCGTAGCCGCTCCCTCGAAGCTACGAGCCTGACTGGGGACTGTGTATGCAGACAAAAGGTGGCTGGTGCAGCGAGAAAGTGAATGTGCAATGAAGGAGGGCGTCGTGATGGGCTGTGGGGAGTTAGCGGTTGGGGGGAGGGCGTCGATCGGCGCGTGCATGTGCAGCATGGTCATAGCTTTGAGGTCGATCTTTGCCAAGGACGACGTCTCACTGATCGAACCTTGCCCAGTGTCCGGTGAGACCTCGGGAAGCATGAATATCTTCCCACGTGGTGGCATGTCATATAACCATGGGTTTAGCGTCGGGCGACTTAGGCTTTACTCCAAGTGGTTAGAATATCCCTGTAGGTTCAAGTCCACGTCACAGCGGCAAATTTTTATAGTTATATAAACTAGCCTATAGTTAATTATAAATTAGGGTAATTTAAGCAAGTAAATATAGTTTTTATTACTATCTTTTTTAAATATATTCTAAACCTATTCTTAATAATATATAGGTATTCCTAAATACTATACTAGAGTTTAGTATAGTAGTACTAGATAATATATCTAAACTAGATAGTAATATTAGAGATAAATTTAGGCAACTATATAAAGTGCTAGAGAAGGATAGTAGTAGTAGTGTTAAAGAAGTAAGTAAAAGTAAATAGAACAAGTTTAGAATAGGTTAGTAATATATTATAGGGGCATAATATATACCTTACTTATAGTAATAGTTAAGGACTACTACTTACACTAGTAATTATTAAGTATATAGCTATTCTCCTAGTATACCCTTAATTATATAGCTAAGGGTATAGGTATATAATACTAGTTTAGTAATATAAAGATAGCTCTTACCTAATAAGAGAAGAGGTGCTTGTGCAGGCTATATAGGTAACACGTTAAGAACACGTTCTTAAATTATTCTAATTCTAGTAGGTATAATACTCCTGCTAGTCTATCTATCTTAATAGGCCTATAACTTCACTATTCTTTAATAGCTAGCTAGCAAGCTAGTATAAATACTAATACTCTAGGGTAAAAGCGTATAAGTATCTTAAGAATATATTATAAACGTGTTCTTATTATATTATTAATAACGTATTATATAATTAGATCTAAACCTTAAAAAGTATAGTACCTAAGAAAATTCTACAAAGAGAACTATAAATAAGAAGCTATTATTATAGCCTTATTAAGCGCTTCTCTTTAAGGATTTATAAGGACTACTAGGTGTCTTATTATCCTATAATAAGGACTATAGTAAATTAGGTAGGGAGCAAAACTTAAATATATTTAAAACGTGTTAATAACAAGTTAGTAAATTATAGAATAGGCTTAACTATACATTAGCTATTAGAACTATAGCCTAATATCTACTACTAGGAAAAAATATTATTTTAGTTAGGTACTACTAGAGGTAGACTCTATATATCTATAAGGTCTTCTAACTAGGGAGATATTAAATCTTTCTAGTAGTCCTGCTTTATATTCTATAGTTAAGCTATAGTTAAGCTAGATAAAGAAGTGTAGTAGGTATATTGCAACCTATTCCTAATATATTCCTAATATATTCTAGGCGTTAATTATCTATAAGGGCAAGGATCTCTATTTAAAATCCTATATAAAGTTACCTTCTAAGTAATTATACTAATAGATATAGTAGTAATACCTTTTTTTACTATTATTTCTTTTAGTATATATATACATATACCTCCTCCTCCCTTAACACTATCTAATAGTAATATTAAGGAAGTAGTAAAGGTATTATAGCCTATACTTACTCTATAGCTTATATAATATAAGTTATTTATAACCTATTATAAATATATTCCTAACTTATTATAGCCTAGTTCCTAAACTTAACCTAGCTCTAAACCTATCTCTAACTTAAAGGTTTCTATTCTATTAAAGAAATATATATTAGCTTTATAAATAAAGATAAAATCTTACGTATTATAAAGCGTAAAAAGCTTCTATAGTTCCTATTTAAGAGTAGCCTTAGAGGAGTACACTATAAGTAGAGGATAAAGTATTAGGATCCTAAAACTATACGTAGTATAAGAGAACAGGTTTAGAACACGTTGCTAACACGTTACTATAGGCGTATATATAGCAAATCTTTATATTAAGCTTAGGTAACTTAATTATTTACCTTTTTAAAGAGCAGGTATTAATTCTATTAGATTAAGACACGTTCTAGATAGATATATTATATAAGAGGTTGTATAGGGTATAGGTAGAGATTCTAATAGTAATCTTCTACCTATAGGAAAAGAAGTGTATGTATTAAGAATAGGTTTGTAACACGTTTCTAACATGTTATAGTTATTACACTTAGCTAAATTATTATAGATAAGGATATAACTAAGATGTATTAAGTTGCTATTACTAACTTCTTTTAGAAGTGTAAAGCACTTATAAAAAGATAAGTGTTATAGAGGTATATTTACTTATAGGGATTCTATAGGACTACTATTAATATATGTAATAAGTAGATAATAGGCAAGTTTTATAGTGTACTATAACCTGTTTGTAACGTGTTTCTAACTTGTTTCTAGGACTTAGGCGCTATCTCTAGTTAATTAATCCCTATAAGCGTAACTAGCGCTAGTAACTTTAATCTTATATAAGATTTTGTTAAGTATATCTATAAAGAAGTATTTATAAAGCATATAAAAGAGAGCTAGATAATACTACCTCTTTATATCTAAGTAAATTACTATAGGTATTAATAGTAGAGGAATACTTTTAGCTTGCTAACCTCCTCTTACGTAAGTAAATATATTCTAAACCTATTCTAAATATATTCCTAACTTATTCTTATATAATTAGAACACAAACCCTCTAAAGATACCTAAAACTAGGTAATCTATAAGAAAAACCTAGTAATTACTACTAGGATTATATAATACTATAGTAAAATATTAAAAGAGGTATAGAAAAAACTAGAATCTTATTTAAATATAGCTAAGCAAGCAGGCTAGAAAGGATATAAAACTAGTAAGTATATAAGTATTCTTAAGGCTACTTAGAAGTAAGTTTATAACCTATTCTTAACCTATTAGAATTATATAAGTAATATTATATAGTGTATACTAGATAGATCTATAGGATATAAAAGAGTTTAAAGCCTAGAGCAAGTTTAGAATACGCTATAACTATAGAACTCCTAATAGGCTTAAGTAAAGGTACCTTAAAAAGCTTTAGAGGGGAGAAAGTAAGTCTTATACTAGCGTTATACACATTTACTAATTAAAACGTGTTTAGAACATGTTTAGAATATATCCTATAATAATAATAACACTCTAGATAATAATAAAGCAAGTCTTGCTATATCTAACTTAACTAGATATATCTTAGTCCTAATAAGAAATAAAAGAGCACGCTTAAAAGCCTAAAGCTAGAGGGCAAGTAGTAGAGTAGTATTAGAAAGAAGTTTACTAGCCCCTTTTCTATCTTCTCTACTACTAGGCTCTTCTCCTCTACTAATAGTAACCTAAAGGTATACTTTGCAAAACACGTTTATAATATATTCCTAACTTATTATTAGTCTATAACTATAAACTTTATAATAAAAGGCTCTTCTTAGTAATTAGGCTCTAAAGGAGAGAAAAGAAAAGCTAGAGGTAGATAAGGAAGAACTTGTATAGAAAAAGGCACTATTTAAATTGCAAAAGGCATAATTTAAACTTAAGAAAGAGATAGCTGCTTTTTATATAAGGTAGGGTTAGTCTATAAATATAGTAACTAGTTCCTAACTAGTTCTTAATATATTCTAGTCTATTATATAAGTATATATAAGTAGATAAATATATATTCTTTCTTCTTCTTTTTCTTCTTCTTTCTTCTTACACTCTATAAGAACTTTTTATATTTAAAAGTTTAATACTATTTTACTATTTATCTTTCCTAATATTATTAGATATAACTAGTTAATATAGTCTATAAAGATCTTTTAAAGTTAGTATATAATAGAACGCGTTAGGAACACATTATAAACTTGTTCTAATACTAAGTAGGATTTATACTAGCGATATATTAAGCTTAAGTTACTTCTATCTAATACTAAGGTATTCTCTTCTATAATATCCTACCTAAATAATAGGTGTATAGTATTTCCTGGCAAGCTTTTCTACTAGGCTATTTAGGCTAGATTAGGGGTATAGGAACTTTATAGAGTATATATATATATAAGTTAGAATATGTTTATAATATATTAATAACTATTTTAGTATTACTTCTCTAATAGAGGTAATCTTATCTACTACCTTAAGAGGTATTATCCTAAGGTTTAAATAGCCCTAGTAAACTATAGTAGAATTATAATATAAGGTATTATAGAAGCAAGGATCTTCTATAGGAGCTTAATAGTAAATACTTAAGAATATATTCTAAATATATTAATAATACGTTCTCTACTAGTAGAGTAGACTACACTAAGTACCTCCTCTAAGGTTTAAGAACCCTCTAAGATAGCTAGTCTATAATAAGAAGTAGTAGCTAGAGTAGAGGCTAAAGAGGAAGTAGAGAGTAAAGAAGAGGAGCAAATAGTTGCTCCCCTTTACACTATAAATAATATTTAGTAAAAGTAGTAAAAAGGAGATATAAGTCTAGTCTCTTAAAACACGTTTAGAATATATTAATAATATGTTATAGCTAGACACCTATAAATACTAGATTCTTCTTTAATCTAAGGGACTACTAGAGCTTTATAATACCTATAAAAGTTAAAAGAAAAAGTTATATACTATTAAAGGACCCTATAAAAGTAAATAGTACTTTACTTTTAGTAGATAGAAAAAAAAAAAAAAGAGTAGAGAGTTTATTTTAGTAATTACTACTACCCCTTTAGGTTATATACTATTATATATTATTTATTAGAACTTATTCTTAATATATTCTTAATATATTCCTACTTATTACTATTATTATCTCCCTCCCCCTCTCTAGTATCTTCTCTATCCTCCCTATCCTCCCTAGGCTCTATAAAAGCATACCGCAAGTAGAACTAGGTAGTATTCTAGCAGGAATTAGCAAGGTCTATACTAGTATTAAAGTAATAGTCTTAAAATATATTAGGAATAGGTTAATAATATATTATAAATAACTTACTATAGCTAGGATAATTATAAGCGTAGATAGTATAAGGAACCTAATAACCTTAAATCCTTAGTAGGGTAGATATAGTAATAAAGTTAAGCTATAATAAGTTAGTAACGTGTTTTTAATAGGTTCTTATAGGCTATACCTTATTACTATTATAGCTAGTGTAAGTCTTCTTCTAAATTATATTTAGGAGGGTATTAGTATTTACTAGGGGGCCTATAGTAGCTACTAGCTAGGCTTAGAGAACTTCTATAAAATATATTAGTAATAAGTTTTAAATATATTCTAAATAACTTATAGTAAGGAGTATTCTAGTAATTATATATAACCTTTATATAAAAGTTTATATATATTAGTATAATAAGTTAAGAATAGGTTAATAATATATTTACTCTTTACCTTATAGACCTCCTTTATAGAGGGCTAGCTAGTCTTCTTAACCCTACTAACCTTATAGTAGGCTATATTAAGCCTATAATCTTTTTTAGTATAGGTATATAGAGTGCCCCTAGTACCTAGAATAGCCTAAGAATATTAGAACCTATTTAGAATATATTTAGAACCTATTCTTACTTTATATAAGGTGCCCTTATTATTAATCTTAGTATAGTAGTAGCGCTCTCTACTCTCTATCTTAACTACCCTATTAGGGCTAACTATAGGCTATACCCTAATATTATCTAGGATATAGCTAAGGGCAAGGTACTATTAATAGTACTTCTATAACCTATTAAGAATATATTCTAAACACGTTTTAATCTACTTATATAGGATATAAAGGATGCGTTAGTAATAGGTATAGTAGTAGTAGCTTATAGTATTACTAGTATAGAATATATTTAGAATAGGTTTAGAACGCGTTATAAAATCTTACAGTATAATATTTAGTTAACCTCGCTTAGCTAGCTAGTAGAGCTTGGCACGGCCTAACCCTATGCTAAATACAAGTTCACGCAGCGCTAATTCCATGGTCATATAAACTGCGCCCTCTCTTCCTACAACAAGTCTACCTACGTTACTTCTTCCCAAGGTTAGGTCTTCGCAGTCCTTCTTGATGTCTTAAATGGCCTCAGTTCCAGTGTTGACAGCTGTCCCGACTGCATACTCTGGCTGCTGTCTCGCCCTAACTCGCTCACTTGTCCACTATTTCAATTCACTCCTGCCCCGACCACCCTCCCTCGCCCTCTCCATAGGCAGTGGCTTTGGCTTACTCGAGACCTACCTTGTTACTGAACCCTACACTGTCCATCTAATAGGCGTCGAGGTTGCACCGAGCCCCAATTCATATCTGCCAGCAGACAACCACTATGCCGTCCATGGGTCACGATTTCTCTGTCCGCTGGCAGCCGATGCAACAGCATGGCTCTTTGTATACCCCCGACGCGCTGGCCTGGTTCGCGAGTATTTGGCCGAATATGGCGACGCTAGTGTCAATCTCATCCTATGGGCAGGGCCAAAAGCTGACTGGGACGACTACAAAAGCTGCTTTTCGGGATGCTGGCAAGTACAGGTGCACAACGCTGACGAAGTTGGTGGGAGTGCTTGGGAACTCATCGTAGTTGCCACCAAAACTCGTCCTTTGTTTCCAACAAGTGTGGAATTTTCCGACGTTGGCTGATGAAATCGATCAGAACGACAAAGGCGGTGTTGGAAGTCGCGCCGCAACAAGATTTATTGAGTCAGCCCATCTCACAACGACATACTTTGTACAAACAAACAACATGCTATATTGACTTGAACTAATTGAGTAGCAAACATGCAAATTTTCTCAGGCATTTGCAACAACTTCCAGCCAAACTGATAGTGTCTTCACTTTTGGAACTACAGGACGATTCGAATCAAGACTTGCAGGCATTCCAAATGGCGATGCCATCCCTATGATCTTGATTGGGCCACCAGATAATCACATCTCCAGGCGTGTGCCATTGTTTCTTTGCCACCCTGTGAATTTCATTGTTGTCTTATTGTCTCTCATTCACCGCCACTTAGGCTGTCCCCAAGGCACTAGTCCGTTTCATTGTTGCAATGAAAGCAGCAACAACATTGTAACCTTACCGTTTGCTGGCCCTTTGATCAACCAAACTCGTTTGTATCTTGGCGCGTGCGAACAATATCTTTTCTCCTCTACCTCAGGACTTGTACACTGCTCTTCCATCACACTACTTCTCCACCATACTATTGAGCTTTCACAGCAAACCCTCTGCAACCACGCACGTACAAGCACACCGATCAATCGCCCGATCACACGCCCCGCCCAAAAGAAAAGTCGCCCGCTGCACACCAAAAGAATCCGTAATCTCCTCGACTGACATTGACAATGGCCGCGCTCGTAGGATGTGCACTCTTCTTAGTTGCCCGCCTATGGGTCCCTGAGCCACTCACTGTCGGTGTCGCGATTATTGCAATGGACTCTAGCATCATTGTCCCGTATTTGGCGCCCACGTACGAGACTGCAGCAGCTTGGTTTGAAGACCAGACTGCTGGTCTATCGAGCAAGGGAGGCACAACGTCCCTCTTTACCACCAAGCCCGCTGCTTCAAGGATCGATGAGGTTGCTGGAGCTGAGCCCACTGACACCAAAGAATACGACCGCACAGTGTTCTTTCAAAATGGCGACACTGTCGTTTATCACGCGCCCCTCACTATATTGGGCACCCGCTTCACCTTTGAACCTCATACCATTTCGCGAGAGGCTGCACACGGAGAGCTTCTAAATTCTGATATGCTGCCAACACCTTTCCCTAATGGTGTTTATCCAAGTCTTGCAACGGCGACAACCCTTGAGATGGAGGACGAGCTCGTGTCCATACCACCACCAGTACGGACTGAAACCCCGCAACAAGGAACCACTCAAGCCTTGAGATACATTTCAACTGCCTTTACGGATCTCATACAATCTAAGCTCCAAGAGTGGGCACTTCGGATATACGAAAAGTGTAAAGCCATTGGTGGAGAAATTGCCAACATCCCTTATGCTGCCCTTACCACTGGCCTATTGGCTGTTCTGGCTGCTGGCTTCCTCTTGATACGAAAATATAGCCATCAAGCATCAGCAACCATTGGGCGATGGATGGGCCAGGGACTCAGAGCTTCAGGTCTGATTCTTGTCCAGCTCGAGAGCTGGATCATGAGCACATCAATCACACCTCTGTACTATACTTGGAACGGTGTGGTGGCATCCCCTACCCTTATGTTGAAGAACATCAGGACAGTACTTATACGCGAACGTCGGTACTCGGTAGGATTTGCCGCTCTCATCCTTTGTCCGCTTGTACTTGTGACCTTCTTCATTCAACGCCATGTTCAAGGTCTCATAGCGAAGATTCGACGACTTGATGATTCTATTCAAACTATAAGAGTAGGACTGGGAGCACCACTCGACTGGCTTTTGCGATCCTATCCAATCTTCGGGTCCTTAGTCATGACGGGCCTGTCCTTGTCGATTGGCCTGTTTATCGTACAGCCTATTCTGAATAGCCTATGGGATTTCATCGCCCTATACGTAGCGGGCCTTCCATTTGGCGAAGATGTCTTGTTCCGAAATGTCCCAGTTTTGGGGCATGTGTACAAGATGCAAGTCCAGCACGACATGCACTCGACGCATATCCTCAAAGAATTCTTGTCCGTTCTCACCTCCAATATTTGGGAGCAATTTGTAAAATCCGGTCAAATGCTCTTCTACGGCCCGTACGCCATCTTTGAAATTCTCCGTGCCTCGGTTCGTGCGACTCTCATTGAGGTATTTCACTTCGCCAGCTCCATGGTCGAGAGCGGTTCCAGGACATTACGCACACTGTGCGAGATACTAATAAATAACTCAATGTCAAGTTTGCGCTTGCTCCAATCACTATCTAGTTCTCTTATCGAGATGGCTAGTGGTGTGGCGCGATTCGTCTTCCTCGTCGTCGGGTCCATATTTCATTCGCCTGTTACCATGTTGCTCAAAGAGTTTCATGTTTTCACTTGCAAGAAATTAATTTTGTGCGGCACTCAAAAATGCTCCATCGGCTGGGAATACTTGATCCTTGTCCCGTGGCTTACGATATGGACATCTTTGCTTCTGATCCTCCCATACATTGCACTGAAGTTATCGCCCAACCTCTGGCCCATAATCGTCGCTTCCGGATTGCTTTTTGCCTTTACGGTGCATCAACGAGAATGTGCGCAGGAAAACATGATCGTCTGTGGAACGCTCCTGTTTTGGTTTCTAGCATGGTGTTTTTCAAGACAAATCACTCAGGCATCTGCCTTCATTGATCGACGCTACAACGGAGAACTGGGAAGGCGTCTGGCTAAGGTTCAATACGACATATCGCAATGGTGGCTTCGTGTAACCACGCCGGACACACCCTTGTCAATCACCCACCTGGCCAATATCGAACTGCCCACAAGTCTGCGCAATCAAGAAGAGTTGGCCACAGTCGTTGAAAAGGAAGAAGCTGCTGCGGAAACAGAAATTTTGCGAAAAGAGGCAAAACAACCTGAGACTACAATCGATAGGTCTATAGTCAACCAAGTCGATGCGGATGTCCGAGAGCCCGATGGAATTGTAGAGGTTGACGATTTTGAAGACTACATGCCTACGCGCAGATCGATCTCGGTTCGCCAATCCTCGGAACCCACATTTGGCGATCCCTTGGACTACGTCCCTTTTGAACTTTTGGTCGAATCTACCTTGCCCAATAACTCTACACCTTTGGGTGATGCTGCTCAGGGCAGTCTCGAGCATCACGAGATCACTCCCATTCCTGAGTCCGCACTGGAGACTCCCATTGGGGTTGGCCTGGATGACGAGGTAAAGACGCCAGCAGAAGGACCTAGAGTTACGATCAGTCGACCTCCAAACCCTGAGTCTTTCTCGATCAATTTTGGGCAAGAGCGCCAGAGTGGCAGTTTGCTCGCAACACAGGCTCAGGATTTCCCCCCGTCGGCTGTACCGTCCCCTGTGACAGGCTCGCCCATCCTACTAAAGGTCCCCGAAAGCTCTACCGAAGGGCCAGCTGAGACCAAGAAGCAGTACACACCCGTGGTTCAGATCGCGGAGGAAGATAGCAAGCCCCTGGAGCCATTAGCTTCTGTACCACAGGCAAACATTACATTTGACTCTGTACTTGCCGATCAACCTAACGACGAAGCAGCAAGCCTTTCGTCACTGCCTCAGCCCAATATCTCACTGCCTGATGTCAACAGAATGGAGATAGCTGAAGCTGCTCCCGCCCCAGCCATGGCAGTAGTCAATAATGAAGATGAGCAAGCTTGCAAACCATCAGACGTATCTTGGCCCATTTCACTGCAGACTTCACAGGATGCGCCGTATGGCCTACCTGATCGCGACCAAAATGTGGAAAATGAAGAGAGAAAAGAAGAGAGTGCAAGCGAAGCAGTGGATGTCGTGCTGGAAAATACCGACGCGCCACTAGATACCGGCCTAGATCCAAATTACTGTACAGATGCAGATGTCTTGAGCACAGATGCCATGGATGAAAGCCGTCTAAACGAAGAGAGCGAAGGGGACACCGAAATTCTTGATGCACCCGTAGAACCATCTCTACAAGATGTGCAAGTTCACGAAGCATCACAGGAGCCATCTACGCAAATTTCTGGAGATTCACAAGGTGAATCTCAAGATGTGCTGCAACAGCATCCTATTACCCCCCAGTCAACCAACAATTGGCCAGCCTCGATGGAAACAGCACCACCCCAATTCTCCTTTCAATTCGAACCTTCCCCCTTTCAGTTCAACCCTTCACGTTTTCAATTCAACCCTACCCAAACTTTCAATGAGGCTACTCCAACCCCAACATTTTCAACAAATTGGTCAGCACAATCCTTCACCTTTACACCAGAAACGTTCATGCAATATGCGGACCCTCAGAACTTGTCCCATGGGCCGAATGACACAGAGTTAAATCCAATGTTGTCTTCTAACAACAATTTTACATCAACAGCACAACCGATTGTTGCTCCAAGTCAGATGTCGAGTTACGTCTTGCCTTCTTTTGACGCGCCTATACCAACTTCACAGTCGTCTGCTACTCCACCTCGGCCGAGCCAACTCAATTTCCAATCACCAGAGATTCCTGTCCTCTCCCAGGATACAATAGTCCGGACAAGTCCGATGCAGACCGACAACACATGCAATCCACCCCATGATAGCCAAGACGGGGAGTCGGACATTGACATGAGCGACGTTCAAGTCTCGAAAGTACCATCTGAACAAGCGATGCCAGCTGGATATCCTGTCACTCTGAGCCCCAAGCCTCAGACTGTGTATCGGCCCATTACGGAGATGGTCGAGTTGTACCGCCCGCATTTAGGCACCAGCAAATTCATCAATAACACCGCATTGGCACAGAATAAAAAGCTGCTCGAACAAAACCCAAACTGTATGCCCAGTCTGCCAACTGACTCGGCCTACCGCGAGGTCGACAGCAAGGTCCTAAAAGCGCACGGGCCAAATTCGCACCAATTCGCGAATACTCAAATCATGCAAAAGTGGTATCATCCACTGAATCCGGATAATATTGTTGAATCAGAAGAGGATAGCGATGAAGAGATGGCTCAGGATCCTACACCCGTCAAAACTGAGTGGGATTCGCAGAGCTCCCGTGCAGAACAAGGTGGCATAGCTCATGATGAATTGCGACTGCAGACTAGTCACACTGCGGAATATCCAGCCAAATTCAGACCGGACGTACATACTGAGTACGACTCAAGTGACGAATCAACAGCAAGTGCCGAAACAAACTCACATGAGCAAGAGGAGAATCGAGTAGCTAGTCTGAAAGCTAACGATGAATCGAGAGAGGAGGAATACCAGAGAAAGCTCGAACGAGAGGCGGAATCGATGAGAAAGGCGCAAGAGCTGATGGACGAACTCGATCGAAAAGCACGAGAACTGGAAGAGGAAGCGAAAGCATCCTATGCTCGCATGGCAGAGGACAGCAGTAATGACGTGCAAAATGCCAACCAGGGGCAACACAAGTTCGTTCCGGATATCACAGATGCCCTCTCCGCAGACTCATCTACCCGACGTCGACGATCGATGGAAGAAGCGCACGAGTGGCACCAGGCCGATCTCACCGAAGAACAGGCCAGGTACATGGAGGAATGGGGCATCAAGACCAAGGCAGAGCTGGACGAGATCACGGGAGAAGCAAAAGTCGACGACGAATATGTTGACGACCAACCGCGCTCTCTCAAGCCAAGGCTCAAGGCTATTCCCCGCTCCAAAGCACAGCCACGTTCCAGCAAGCAAATGCAATCCTCCATGGGCCTTGCGAGAAGCGAACCTCAGACTACCGCTGTCAGCAGTAGAGAGCGCTCACCCTCGCCAGCCATGGAAGCTCCCTCTGGCTCCTCACCATCGCCACCCATGCAACCTCCATCTGGCTCCCCGACTCCTCCACCAGAAGTCCAGTCGTCTAGCGCACCTGTGTATCGAGACTACTTCGTGTACAACAACACTGGTTCCTGCGACAGCGAAGGAACGTACTACGACCATGAAGGCGAGCCCCATGACGCCTTCTACAACACCAACACGTACGATCTCGAGACGACGGTCCATGGACAGGTGATTACGCTGATGCAGGATCCGAACGCAACAGGTCCTACGGAGGTTTTTGCTTGGCGTAGGATCGATGATAAGCTTGTGCGTTGGACTGGGATGTAAGGGGTTGTTGTCATTCATGGATGGGAGTTCGGTGTTGAAGGATTCCTGTGGCATGGGAACAAATTGGTAATAATTGGAGGAAAGATGTATTACAGGTGGTGTCGTACGCTATACTGAATATGGGAACAAATTGGTAATAATTGGAGGAAAGATTTATTATAGGTGGTATCGTACGCTGTACTAAATATGTACTGAATGTGTTTTTGTTTGATTCATCAAATGCTTACCGGATGAGATATATACGCTGAGATGGTCTCCACTCGGGATTTTTATTTGTCTCTTGATGTCTTTCCATGTCCCTCCACGTCCCTCCACGTCCCTCCACCGCCTTCGTCAGCAAAAGAACAAACCGCATGTAAGGGCAGGAAGTTCCCAACACCACCAACAAGACTACTCTACCAGTTTCTTCTCTCTGCACCCATGTCATGATAAACACCCGAAACATGAGATGATCACGACACCACCGCTCAGCGGGCACCTTTAGTTTAGTCGTGAAATGAGGCCTACCGACAGCGTAACTCTGAACCAGTTTTTTCTCTTTGGAAACTACCGGTACCGGTATAGGCCATCCAATGATTTACAACAGGGCATTGATCAACCTAGTCAGACAAGACGTCCAGTTGCCATGACTCGCGCGACAGCTTGCCACGAGACTGCCAGGCGGGATCCGCACCAGCCGAGGCCCAGGCGCGGCGCGACATTTACCGTAAGTTACAACCCTTTAGTCCCGTCCCCAGTCACTTGGTTCCCGCATTGACGTGTATCATCGTGAACAACAACCCACCGCCATTTGACGACATTTCACGCCCTGGTTTCTTCCCTCTGTTGGCGCACTGCGATTTCTTGTTTTGCACATTCGGTCTCCTTCAGCTGTTCTTGTTTGAGAGTTGCCTGCCTGTCTATACTTTATATACCTCACCCCTCGCAAGCTCTGCTCTCTGCTTTCTGGCAACGCTAGCTTTTGGGGGCGACATTCGACATGGCAGACTCTGTGGGTAGGTCACATGCACCGGGTTTCAAAGTTGGGAGTGATTGTGTAAATGGCATCCTAACTGTCCCAGATCGAGTCTTTAGCCATGCGCTCAACACGGTCAACAAGATACGGACAGGCTCGCAAAAGCCGCCATCTGCAACGCGACTGCGACTCTACGGACTATACAAGCAGGCCATGGGTGCGCTACAGGTCCGCATACAAATAAGCAAGCAAACGCAGCTAATCGCGGGCAGAGGGCAATGTCGATGGTATAATGGAACGGCCATCAGCCACAGATGAGACGGAGCAACGAGCACGGGAAAAGTGGTATGTTGGCAATGCACCCGACCATCTTCCCATGTCAGGAGATGGGATTGTGCAAAACAGGGCCCCTAATCCATCTACTATAGGGATGCTTGGAAAGAGCAAAACGGTCTCTCGCGCACCGAAGCCAAGCGACGATACATTACGACCCTCATCGATACCATGCACAAGTACGCTTCGCCATCGCCCGATAGCAGAGAACTAGTCGCCGAACTCGAGTTCGTATGGGACCAGGTCAAATCTAATGTGCCCTCCTCATCCTCCTCCTCGCCTGTACAAACACACGACCAATTGGGTCTGCACATGTCGCAGGGCTACTCTGAATCGCCCCAAATGGGCCAGAGCAGCCGCGCTGCCATGAACAGACGGCCCAGCAGCATCCACAACCGCGACAACAACAATGGTGTTGACGAGCGGCCCCTACGAGTAAAATCACCAATGTCGCGATCCGAAGAAGAACTCGAAGAAGAAGAGGAAGAAGACGCAGAGGCAGAGGCAGAGGCAGAGGCAGAAGCCGAAATGGACCGCGAGGAATTCGTCGACGCTCCAGACTCGCAATACAACCCCACCTCCGATCAAGACGCAGGCATACAAACCGACTACCAAAACATCCTCCGTCGAAAGCATCAACAACAACCCAAACAACCACCACTACCACCACACCAAAACCCCAGCACCCCCTCCCCCGCCCCCAAAAAGAAAAATATCATCCCCCAACCCATCCCCCTGCCCAACCTCACCGGCGCCACCCCCACCCCCGCCCCTCCCCCGGATCCCGCCGCAGACCCAAAATGGCGCAAGAGAATCGAATCTTCTTTGATGAAGATGACGGCGGAAATCGCCGCGCTGCGCGAACAACTCGAAGCGCGACGCCTGTTTGCGCACTCGGCGCACTACCGCCTGTTTCGCTGCTTGTATCGCTGGGCGTGGGCGGCGGTCAAGCATTTGGCGGTTGATGTGCTGGTGTTGGCGTTGGTGCTGGTCTGGGCCAGGAGGAAGGGGGATGGGCGGTTGGAGGGCGCGGTTAGGGGGCTGGTGGGCGATGTGTTGGGGGAGGTTAGGAGGGCGTGGGATGGGGTGAGGGGGAGAGGAGGGACGAAGAGAGCGGGCGGAGCTGGGACTGGGGCTGGGTAGCTGTATGGGGGGGGTACCAGGTGGAGATGATGCTTGTGATTCCTTTTCGTGGGATACGCTGGATTATATATGTGAATATGAATATGAGAATATGAAGAGATGTGTCCCATACGAATCACCTTTTTCTCACCCCCTCCAACCTCGCCCAAAGTTCAAACTTCAATCTGAAAATATATCGTGAATTGGATTAAAGTACGTATACATGGAGCTTTCATATATTCATCATCCGTACAGATTCGACAGGACCAATTTCAAACAATCAGCGCCATCTACCGAGGCGAAGTTACAAGGGTCACACGCCCGAACCAACCCCATTACTCAGCATCCTCGCCTTTCACGCCTTCTCATCCACAATCTTGCCATTCTCGTCCCCCCTCTCCTTCTCAACCGTCGCCTCCACCTTCTCCGTCATCAACTCCTTGACCCCCTTCATACACGCCACGCTCACCGTCGCCAGCGCAACAAACGGCACCACGCTCCAGAAGCCCAGACGATAGGCCCTCGTATAACTCCAATGGCTGGCATCCCAGGCCGCATTCATGATTGCCTCGTTGGCGCCCGGGACACCCTGGCCCCTGGCCTTGCTGACGGAGCTGCGAGCCATGGATTTGAGGAGCGCGGGGATTGAGGACTCTGGGAGGCCGGCGGCGATGGCGGCGCGGCTCACGTCGCCGGGGAGATGGGAGGCGATGCGGGCGTTGACAATGGCGTAGATGACTGCGGTGCCGAAAGCGCCGCCGATGGCGCGGGCGGAGAAGGCGAGACCGGTGGCGGTTGAGAGGAAGGCGTGTGGGGCGGTGAATTGCACGCAGGCTACGAGGAGGGTGAGGGGCCCTGAACATCCGATGCCGGTCAGGGCGGTGAGAACGATTTGTATGGCGTCCCAGGAGGGGCGGATGAAAGCGAAGCAAATGGAGGCGATGAACATGATGATGAATGTTACTACCAAGGGGGTTTCTGGAGGGGGCATGTTAGTTCGTTTGGATCATGAAGGGGGGGCTAGCGGACGACGTACTCAGATCCTTGAATCGCGTGGCCCACCATGTTACTACGAGGGCGGTCAAGATGGAGGCGATCTTGTAGGAGAGTTGGCGGATGGAGATCTTCCATGCGTCGTCCTCGAGGCCAATATTGAGGATGAGCTGGGGTGTTACAGAGTTGATGGCCGAGTAAAAGATCCATCTGTTTCAGAGTCAGATGTGTAAGCTGCAATGTTTGAATCAGAGGACTTACCCTTCAATGGCAAAGGCAAAAGTCGAGAGCATAAAGTTGGGTCCCGTGGAAAAGAAGACATGAGCGACGATGCCATCTGAACGTCCCTTCCATTCTTCAACATGTCAGCAGTGATTCAAATGAAGTGGGGTGGAAGACTCACCGTAGAGGCAAAAGGCGATGAATAAGACAATGCCAATAACCAGGTTTGCGCATACTTGGGGACTGCTCCACTTGTAAGCACCACCAGCCCAGTTGAGCGCCAAAATCATCAAGGTGGCACTGCCAATGAGTAGAATAGAGCCAATGGGATCGCATGCCCAGGCCCACTGCTTGAACGTCATTCGGGGATAATCGCTGCGTTTCTTGGGCCAGTAAAAGCAAAAGAGGCCAATGGATGTCAGGCCATGGAGAGCGACTTGGATCCAGAAGATATATCGCCATCCAGAGGCATTGAGGCTTGTGACCGCACCGGCTGCCAAGGAACCAACACTGGCGATGGGTTAGTAGTGCCGAACTAGCAAAGGGTATAAGGGGATGTTGGTCACTTACGTTCCACCCATCACACCTGCAATTCCAGCAACACCGTTTGCAACTGCTCGGTACTTGAGAGGCAGAATCTCAGAGGGTATCGACTGGACAATGGAGATTGTGGAAAGGGTGACCCCGATCAAGATGCCGCCACCAATCAACATGGACATGGAAGTAGCTTTGGCGCAGACGACGGCACCAACACAGGCGATAAGAGGCGGTATAGTTGCAAAGAGCTTGCGATCAAGCACGTCAGACAGGCGGCCCACAGGGGGTGACAGGACGGATTGCATGAGCAGCGGGCCCTTGTGCATCGTCAGTGTCATGTCAAGGGTTGTAGTTTTTTTGAGTATCCATACCTGAATGACCCAGCCGGCAAGCGCAGGCTCTCCAAGTTCACGAATGATGAAGGCCAAAACAGACCCTGCGGCCACCACTACGAAGACTTGCGACATGACGCTGCAATACGGGTTAGTGGGGACAATTGTCGATACAAGGGGGCCTGGCCATCGTACGCAAACGAACACCAAAAGACGACCATCCACGATCTCCACGAGAGCTGAACATGCTGGTAATCCTCTTTTGCCTCTTGCTCAATCGGGACAATGTGAGCCTTGAGGGTGGCCTCGACAAACGAGGTCTTCTTCTTTGAATCCATGTGGTGGGCGCTCTTTGAGTTCAAAGGGATATGGGGAGGAAGGAGAGAGTGGGGAGCAAAGTAACCAGCTGAAGCAAAGGTGGCATTCACAGGACTTTTATCATGCAGAAGTGTAGTGTACTGTGCTACCCTGAGCTCGGTTGTAGAGTGTTTGGCGGGGTTCTAGGAACGCCCTCTGGCCCCGGCAGTTGAGAGGTTTCCGCGGCCATGGACCTGTCACCACGCGATTCTGTTGTTCAAGTCTGGGGTTAGCGATGCGGGGACCCCATATTGGAGACGGTAGCGATGCTCACTTGGCTCGCATAGGTTGGATTAAGCAACCAGGGCTTGGCGCATGAGTCGCAATTAACCTCGCTTATCCGTACGCGAACCATTCCGATTCCGACGGGTCATGTGGCACAGCAGAGCGATGGCATCAGCCACAGCCTTGCTAGCCTCAGCCTCTCTTGCCGCTTCTGGTCGTCGTCGCCGTTTGCTCAAATGGGCCAGGCGCGACCCTTGCCGCTTGTTCACGGATCCGGACAGGGAAGAGCCGCACGGGGAAATAAATGACCGATCTCCGCCCGCCCCTCTTCTTGGAAGTTTTGTCGTGTTTGCATTCACCTCTCTCTTCTTCACCCACTACCACCACCACCACCACCACCACCACCACCAATAACAACACCACTATCATAGACAGCTCTCCATTTTCTCTACTCCACACACATTCACCGCTTACGCCTTCACTGCAGTGCCTCACCACAGGCGATGCTATGAGCACCACAGTACCGCTCGTAGGCCGCCTGGTCCCGCTTCGGACCAAGGATGAAGTACGCGCCAGTCTGGAAACTACGACTGTTTACGTGGTCGAGGTTCCGGCCAAGTTTGCCAATACCGTCAAGGAGTGAGCTACTCACTCGTGCTTGCACTCTATTCGATTCCATGTGCTAACAGGCCCAAGTGTCGTGCAAGCAGCCATCCCGGAGTTCAAGACGTCGGAGATTTCTCATCTGAGACGCGTGGTGCAGTTCAAGTATCTGCCGCTGCACTTGCAAAAGCAATTCTATCCTGCCGCGAGGCTTCCGAGAGGTGATGACGATGATCCTGCCTTGACATCATCATCTACATCCCCCTCGTCGCTGCCTTGTCCCAACTCCATTCCTCCGTCTTCATCTGGCGGGGAGGCTGCTGAGACAACTTTTGCTAAGGATGTGAAAATAGTGCGCTACTTTTTGCTGTGCCAGACGCGATATATCCAGCATGAGACCCTCGTCAAACTTGTTCGAACCTGTCCTCCTTTCAATAACAAGACCGCCCCACCTCGCATCTTCAGCGTGACCGTGCCAGCACTTGCGCCCATTTCTGCAGAGCAGGCTGCCCAGTGGAGTGATGAGTACTGGCCCATTTCATACAAGAATACTAATCCCTATGGGCCGCACCCTAGCCTTGTTCAGCGTAATACGGATGAGATCCAGTCAAATGCCGGCACCTGGCTCGCGCTCGCAAAGCTTGCCGGCAAGCAGATAGCCGAGCTGTCGGTTGGTGAGCCGCTGGGCGTCACAGTGGTTGACCACACCAAGCCTACGCCAGAAATCATTGCCGTCGCAGGCGACTGTCGTTGGAGATCTCCTACTGGCGCCGTCGAGTCACACTCGGGCACAGGCAATGTCATGGCTCACGCTGTCATGCGCGCCATTGCCATGGTGGCCAAGAAGCGTCTTCGCGTCGCTGGCACCGACCCGGCCTACCTTGACCGTTCCCTCTTTTGCGACAGCCCTCTCACACAAGTTGAAAAGACGTATTATGTCAAGGACAATATCGCGTCGAGTGGGTACCTCTGCGTCGACTTGGATATTTACCTGACGAATGAGCCCTGTGTCATGTGTTCCATGGCCATATTACATTCTCGGTTTCGGCGCTGCGTCTTTTCCAAGCGCATGCCGCACACAGGCGGTATGACTTCTGATGGTGCTGGCGACTCTTCACCCTCGGGCACAGGCCTCAAGCACGGCTTGTTCTGGCGACCGAGCGAACTCAACTGGAAGTTTCTGGCATGGGAGTTCCAGGAAGACGCCAAAGAGGCAGAGAACGCGAAGACATTCAAGGATACTTTGCAGGTTTAATACGGGGGCGTGTGGGTGTCGTGGCTACCACTGCATTGGATAACTGGCATTTTCATGGCGTATTGGATTATACCTGGACTCGACGACGCGTCTTGTACCTCAGGGACAGCAGTACAAAAGCTTTGTAAAGGTAACAAAAGCATGGGTTTGATGTGCATGAAATAGAGGCAAGAATTTCAAAGTTCGTATCATAGTCCACATCGTACTCGTGTGATTATGATTGCATTCCTTTGTCATCCAAGTCTGGTCTCTCATCTTCCCGTCTTCTCATACCTCCCATCATGTCCCGCCATGTTGACGTTTTTTTCTTCCTCTCATTTGGTCTAAGCCCAAATCCCTGTGTTCCCTGCAGCAAATACAATCGCTGCTGTTGTTCGAGCCAGTCACTGCCACGTGAAGGTGCTTCTTTGCGCTTGACAAGCGGTGCGAGGCTGAGTGATGGGCTCCGGTCGATTAATGGCCTTGCCAAGCAAATCGCCTCATCATCGCATGTACTCGTTCGAAGCAGTGCTAACGCTTTGTGGTCGGGCTGTGGAACTTCTGGAAACTTGCGCGGAAGACCAGGCCGCAGAAGGTCAGTTGTAAGTTCATCGTCAAGAGGGCCCTTTTTGACCTCGTTATAGTTGCAAGTCTCCGTTGCGCTCAAGGAGCTCGTCAGTCGACCAAGGCACTCTGCTACAAGATTCTCAGTTTGCACTGCTAAAGAGCTGCGAGACTGCTCCAATTTTGAGAACAGCGTCGATTCGTCGCTGTTGTCGTCTCTTCTGTTCTTGCCTGTCAATAGTGAGGACATGAGCGACTGTGAGCCCGAAGCCGACCAAGCTGAAGCTGAGGAAGGGGGTAGCAAAGGCAATGGCTTGTCATTTTCTAAAGCAAGAGCACGCTTCGACTTTCGACTACGCCCGTGGACCGTTGAATTGCCAGTCGTCAAGATGCGTGAAGGTTCTGGCGCATGTGCCCTGTCGTTCCCCAGGTGCTCAGTACCGGCGACCAACGTACCACTCAATACCGTAGACATGTTGTTCTTGGACGCAAGCACTGCCCCCTTGGTATTTCCCAGACAGTATTCGGCCATGGCTTTCAACTCTGGGTCTTCATCCGCACTCCAGGGCTTCGGATGTGCCGGTCGCTCGCGCATTTCAAGACATTTATCCTTTCTGTAGCACACGCCTCGTCCGTGGATATGGTACTCGCAACCTATCCTCTCTCCAAATTTGTAATCCCAATTCTCTCGTAGCCCTCGTAACATGGTCACCAACCTTCTGTCCTCGGCAAACATCCTATCTACAACAAACCTCTTCAGTACATTAGATGCTGTCGGATCCACGAAAATTACGTCAAGAATCTTTTGATCCACACATTGTTTCGGAGACAAGAGCTCCGAAAGTTGGTCGATGATGTAGTCTTGAAAATCGGGTTCACCTAGCGGACCACCGACGATATGCGCATACACCAGGTCGATGCAGTCGCGGAGGAATAAGTTGGATGACGCTAGAGCAGAAGAAGGAGCTGGAAAGCTAATGTATCCGCTAGTCAGGTAATCGAGGAAGAGTTTGAACCCCGCGGGATCAATATTTGTCAGTGGGATGATGGAGGGTTTGGGCTGGCGGGACATGTGCTGCTCGACGATTGCGTGGAGTCGTGATGATCGAGTGACTAGAGAACAAGGCACGTCGATGGTTTCGCTGGGGAGATGTTCGGAAAGCGTTGTTCGGCCATCGAGATAAAATGTCACGATGTCCTCGTTCAAGGGCATGGGTTTTCGGCAATGTTGATGCTGAGACGGCATTGTGCATTTTTGTCATTACAATATGGTGGTGCCCTAGGGGTTGGCTACTGCAAAAACTGTCAACTCTACTAGTAATCAATGGGTCTGAATGTGAATACTAGGCGATATTTTGACTAAGGTAATGTGAATTGCAAGGGTGACTGGTGTCACAGTCTGGACCAAAGGGTCATACCAACATATGTTGGACACGGCCATGTCACAGATCGCCACCTATACTCCGACTCAATAGACAGCCAACAGAATTTTACATTCATGACTTTCATTATTCAATATCAACATGAGCCTCCTCAAATTGCTCGCTCCTTGATGACATGCGCTAGATATCTCAAGCACAACTTGGCAAACACTATCTTAAATGAATTGTGCAAAATCAATTATGGCGATATTTGGCTTCAAAAACCGGAAGCGAAATGACCCTCGACGCCAGCGATCACTTGTACCTGTGACTAATCCCTCAGGGCCATCACCATCGCATAATCTCTCCCTATACCATTCTGCAGATGGAAATTGCCACCGCGGCGACAGTTTTAAAAATTCCTACGAATGGAACGATCTGCGTCAGAGTCCTGTACAAGTGACGCAAGGTCCACGCTTAGAGACAGCATCACCATCTAGACAGAAACACCTTCCAAACACCACAATCTCGCCTGTTGACAGACGACCACATGGACCAAACTTAAGGAGCAGGGATGGTACAGCGTCGAAAAGAGGGTTCCAGGGACTGAACACAGGGCTGGTGCTACCACAGCAGGTTCGTGGACGCACTAGGAAAAGAACGCCCGTTGGGGTTGGGAGAAGGAAGAGCGTGATACAGCGTACGCGAGCAGATCTTTATCACGCTGATCTTCTGGATGATGCACACCCAGAAAGACAAGATCCGCAGTCAGATACAAGCCTAAACCTACGCCACTTCCACCTTCCTTTCCGTCCTCACGACACAAAGTCAGCCCCTTCTTGGACCTTCGATGCATCACAGGCCTCTGGACCAACTGCGCACAGCACATCGTACACATACCAAGCGCGCAATGTCGAAAGTCGCGGATTTGCAAAAACTCCACAAAACGTGTCTGCTTTCTACCCTGCAGAATTGAGGACGAAGAAAGCGCCAGGCAACACTTTGCAGGCGACGCCGAGGGTTGGTCGAAGGAGAAGTGTCATGGAGCATATCATGGCAGATCCCTACCACGCTATCATGTTTGAGGATGGGGGTTTTGATGATCAGATTGGGGGGAGCGGCTCAGAGGAGATGGAAGGAATAGCTAGTAGTCATGAAAGGTTGGCATTAGGAGCGAGAAGCTGAGGATTGGATTACGTCGGGATTTGATTGTCCTATGGGTAGCGGAGGGGGTGGTGTGACAGCAGTAGCAGTATATCAGGAGCAACAAGAATAGCAATGAGTAAGCCAACAGCGACTAACCTGGCAATGGTTCTACCCTCTCCTCAACGCCCTCATCTCCGCTTATAAGCTCCCTGATCTTGGCTTTTCCGTCCTCGTGCTTCAGCAACTGGTCATGCTTGTGGCCGACGTGGGCTGTCCTGATACCGCGACGATTAACCACATTTTGCTTGCGCGCTGGGATACCCGTCGCACTGGGAGAGTTCGTTTTGGATCGGTGTGTGGTGTGTGGGATGGCGGGCGTGTCTGGGCATTCAGGGCGAGTGTGAGATTGGCGTGGAATTTTGTGATGTGAGTATGGATTGGGGGTATATATGGGAGATTGATCGTCCACCTAGGAAAAAATACAGTCAGGTGCCATCACAATCTGATCGACTGGACTGACTGAATCCCTCTTTCTTTCCTCCAAAACCTGCTTCGATATTAAACTAACGAACATGTCCCTCTCGCCAAACCCGCACCCCATCACCACCGGAACCTCGCGATTCCACCCTCCCAGTTCGACCACAATTCACAGCCTCCACCATCCCCATCATCCACAAACATGAGCGTCTGAATCGAGCTCGAACCCCCCTTTTTAACCCCATATTTGCCCCGGTCTATACTCCGTTTAAACTCCCTCAGCACCTTACCGGTGTAAATATTAGACACGCGAATGGCTACATCGGTCTGGGCGTCCTGCGCCGCGGCTACAAGACCTAATGGCACATTCACTGCAATGTCAAGGTGGGCATCGTCGAGATTGTAGTGCTGGAAAGTGAGGAGAGGCTGGGACCAGTTTGCCGCATTGTTGTAGTCGAGTTTCTGTTTCTTTTTGCTGCGGGCGGGGCCACTTGCATCGAGGGTGGAAAAGTATGTCTTATTGTAATGCGAATCGGGATTATGTGTGTGAGCTTTATCATGTGACGACCTGGGCCGTGCGGAGCGGATATCGTAGAGGTACAAGGAATTTTGGAGGCCAGAGCAGATGAGCCGTGTTGGATCGTCGGCGCGCTTGATCTTGGTGACGGGTTGGGGGTGTGTGAGGATGTGACTTGAGCCGCGTGAGCGGATGTCGTGCAGGAGGACCTTGCCGTCTCGACAGCCCATTGCTACGGTGGAGTGGGAGATCCAGTCTAGGGATAGAATGGGTGAGGAGAGGCCTTTTAGCGGACTTTCGCTGTGCCAAGCGCTGCTCTTGTCTCGGGAAAACATGAGGAGATAGTTTGACGCGGCAACTGCGAGGTGTTCGATGTCTGCTGCGGCGATGCTGTTTGTTATACTGTGGGGTGATTCCCAGGTGTTCGACGTGGGGCGTGCGGCCACGCCCCATATCGTTGTGCAGTCTCTGGGTGTGAATTGAAGGTCTGCAAACTGCTGGTCTGGCCCTGGATCACTGATGAGTAAGACCGCTGGTCCAGGACCGCCATAAGTTGTCACGACCACTTGTCCCGTGGTGGGAAGATGTGTGATTGAGGACACGGCCGAGGGTGTGCGTAGCACTTCTGTCTCGATTGCCAAATCATGGCTATAACCGCTTGGTGGTTGCCGCCATTCGTCTTCCACATGAGACACTGGAGAAGCACGTGTGATTTGTGGTTCAAAGTCATTGTACATGATCCGATTGTCGCCATGCACTGAGATGATGGCCTTGGTACTGGCATCTCTGGCGAAAAGGCCGATGGCTGATCCATGCCTGTCAAGCACCCTGTCTGGGATCGACTTTACACCAGACATGTAGGCAGTGGGATGTAAGCATTGCGTGTATAAAGTCGGTCTGTTGCGCCCACTTTCTCGCTGCATGCACGTTTGTACAAGGTTGCTAGCATTACGAAGGACGACGCGCTCTTTTCGATTCTTATTTATTCTAACAGCGGCTAATTTCTCGATATGCTCAACTCGCTGTCTCTTGCGAATGTTTTCTGCTGAATATTTTAGATCCAGGTCCCGTGATGCTGCGGCGCCTTGAATCTTGAAGTATTTCTTCTTTTCCGTATCGTAGTAGAAACCCGGGATGGCTTGGCCGTTCATCGTGGGGCGCTGGGATGCGAGTTAAGAAGAGCAGTAAGCAGTGAGAGGCGAGATATGTTCATGGGAAACAGTTTAGTCAAGGAGGAGAGGAGTAGGCTATGGTTAGTAGTCGGGAGCATGTCTACTAGTCAGTGAATGTCCTAATACAATTTCCAAGGCTGCAAAGGGACACGAGTCATGCACGTGGTGCTTAGTCATCGCCAACGACCGGCTGCTTAGCGTGCTCTAGACCCTGGACAGCCGGCCCTCGGCATGACGCATTCCCTGTATCGCAAGCACATCACTGTGACAGAGCGGGCGCGAGGATGGATTTGCCTCTTTTCTACTTGCACTTGAACTTTCTCAATCATCATCATAACGACTACTATCATCTTGTGTCTTCTATTGTGTCGTAACATCCACTTCTTCTCTTTCCTCCCTCTTTCATGCTTTGTGTCACACACCTGTTGCGAACGTCCACACATCAACATCGACACACTGCGGTACGCAACTTCGCAGGCACACGCCTAAATCAAATCATGGCCCACATCGCCAAACAACAACAGCAACAGCAGAGCAATGGCTCCTCTCATGGCCGCTGCACCCTCCGCGATCTGCCCAAATCTAACGTCTTCACCTCCCATCTGCCCGCCGACGCCGCCTTCGCCACACCTCTCGACTCTCACAAAGCGCCCCGCGAAAGCCTCGGACCGCGCATGGTCAGGGAAGCCCTTTTCACCTATGTTCGCCCCGATCCCCAGCCCGAAAACGAGCTCCTCGCCGTGAGCCCAAGGGCCCTGGAAGACCTCGGTATTCAGGATTCGGAAGCCGAGACAGAAGAATTCAAGGACGTGGTCGCGGGGAAGAAGATTTTGACCTGGGACGAATCCAAGCCAGACGAGGGAATCTACCCCTGGGCTCAATGCTATGGTGGCTATCAGTTTGGACAATGGGCTGGCCAACTGGGGGATGGACGCGCCATTTCCCTGTTTGAATGCACGAATCCAAGTTCAGGCATTCGATATGAGATACAACTCAAGGGCGCAGGAAGGACGCCCTATTCACGCTTTGCCGACGGTCGCGCCGTTCTCCGATCTTCGATTCGCGAATTTGTCGTTAGCGAATACCTCAATGCAATCGATATACCCACTACCCGCGCCCTCGCCCTCACGTTGAACAACGGCGCCAAGATACGGCGCGAGCGCTTAGAACCCGGTGCCATTGTGACCCGCTTTGCCCAATCATGGATTCGTTTTGGAACCTTCGACCTCTTGCGCGTTCGCGCTGATCGCAATAATTTGCGCAAGCTCGCCGATTACACTGCAGAACATGTCTACGGGGGCTGGGAAAGCCTGCCCTCTGCTCTGCCCAGCGACGGCGACGTCACATCCACACACGGCCAAATCACAACGGGTATCCCTAAAGAGGTGAGTGAAGGGGAGGGACTGTCAGAACGAAACTGCTACAGTCGTCTCTACCGTGCCATTGCCCGTGCCAATGCCCTTACCGTTGCCAAATGGCAAGCCTATGGCTTCATGAATGGTGTTCTCAATACAGACAACACGTCCATTCTCGGTCTTAGCATCGACTTTGGTCCCTTTGCATTTCTCGACACTTTTGACCCAAGTTACACGCCAAACCACGATGACCATCAACTGCGGTACAGTTATCGCAATCAACCCAGCATCATCTGGTGGAATCTTGTCCGTCTGGCCGAAGCTCTGGGAGAGCTCATGGGCGCAGGGGCGGGCGTAGACGAGGAAATCTTCGTTGAAAAGGGCGTCACAGAAGAGCAAGCCCCTGAATTGATCAAGCGTGCAGAAACCATCATCGACGGCGCTGGCGACGAATTCAAAGCTGTCTTCCTAGCAGAATACAAACGGCTCATGACCTCACGTCTCGGCCTGACTTCTCAGCAAGAGTCGGACTTCCAGGATTTGGTAAGCGAGCTGCTAGATTGCCTCGAGGCGTTTGGCCTAGACTTTCATCATGCATTTCGACGTCTATCTGGTGTCAAGATTGCGGATTTGACGACAGAGGAGCAACGACGGGAGGCTGCGGGTGTCTTCTTCAAGGCCGACGAGGTGCCAGGGCAAGACGATGAGTCGCGCGTGCGCATTGGCAAATGGCTTGATAAATGGGCTACACGTGTACGGCAGGACTGGGGCGAGGCTGAATGCGATACTGAGCGAATCGTAGCCATGAAGCGTGTTAATCCAAACGTAAGTTCCTTTTCCTAAATTTGGCCTGTACCATCCCTTGAATCTCGAGCTAATAATTGATGAATAGTTCGTCCCTCGATCGTGGATCCTAGACGAAGTCATCGACCGTGTGGAAAAGAAGGGTGAACGCGCCATCCTGCCGCAAATGATGAAACTTGTACTTGACCCCTTCCAGGACACCTGGGATGCGGACGCCGAGGGTGAGAGTGCAAGTGGCAAGGGTGGTGATGTAATGAGTGCAGAAGAAGCGCACCGATTCACGGGCGACGTACCAAAGTACAAGGAGTTGATGCAGTGTAGCTGTTCGTCTTGAATCTTTCCGATTAATTGTATATTTTGGCGAGATAGTAGAAATATATATGCCGCAACCCCCAGTCCATATCATCCTACCACACAAGAACTCATCGTCTTTCTTCTCCTCTTCTTGCTCTTCTTCTTCAAGATTTCATAAATAGAAGAACATCAATCCACCCCGCCAACAAGATACTCACCCACCTCAATCCCCACACTCCTCCCCAATGCCCTCGCATACTCCCAACTAAAATTAACTCTCCACCTTCCGCCCGCCTCCAAAGCATCACCGCTCCCGACCCCACCCGCCCGAACCAACAGCCTCAGACTTCCCAGCGTAGCAACCTGCGTCAACAGATCCGCCACCTGCGGTACACCGCCATCCTGCAGGAGGGCCCTGAAAATCGCAAGCAGCCGATCCAGCGGAAACGGACTGGGCGTGAGCAAATGCCGGCTGATCTTGCGGTGCTTCGTGCCGCTGCGTTTGCCGGTTACAGTGGAAAGCGAGGCGGCGCCGCCACGGCGCCGGTTTTTGCGCTTATCTGTGTGCTTCATGAAGTAGGTTGTGTCTGTGCGGGCGGGGTTGTAGGAAGCCAGGTAGGCGGCGATGAGGAGGTGGGTGGTGTAGTATGGGAGGTGTTGGAGGGGGAGTTTTGTTGGGACTCCGCGCGTTTTACTCGGAGTGCGGGGTGGGGGTTCTGTGGATGTGGTGGCGGGTGCTGTTGCTGTTGCTGTTGCTGTTGCTGTTGCAAGAGTTGTGTTAGAGGGGTTGTCGATGCTGGTGATGATGCGGTCGAGTGCCCAGTCATGTAGTTGAAACAGATGGTGTCTGTTGACCATCAATCTTGAAAAGTCGAGTGTACCGAATTGGCAGCAAACGAAAGGTTCTACAAACGGTCGCCAGAGACGAGTGGCGCAGCGTTTGAAGCTGGTCAGGTCGCGGCCTGTGTGTTTGGATAAGGAGTCGTATGCGGCTTGAAGGAAGCGGGACCAGAGCCATGCGTCGTCTTCGGCGGCGAGGTCGGGGGTGTAATCGGGAAACTGTTCGAGCGATGGTGGAGACTCGAAGATTTTGGGGGGGTGGGCGCCGAGGATTGTGAGGAGTTGAGTGCGGTCGTAAGGAGGGAAGGGGATAGAGGCGATGGTGGTGGAGTGGAGGATTGATGGAGATAGGGCGAGGGTGGTGGTGAGGATCAGGGATAGATTTGGTATCTGCCAGGTAAGTCAGTCGTCGAAGATGTTGTGCATTCTGCCTGAGTTCTTTACCATTTCCCCCAGCCTCGCCAGAGCGGGTATCAAAATACCTACACCTCCTTCCCTCAATTTGTCCACGGCGTCCAGTACCAGCACGAACTTGCCACGTCCATCGAGTAGTTTACCAAGATTGACACACAGCGCGCTCAAATTCTCTGTCCGCGCATAGGGCCGTCTATCGATTCTCTCCTTGCTAGTCTCGTCGAGCGCATCCAAACTCGCTACAACGACGCGCTCCAGGACATGCCGGATGGTGATGCATTCTCGCACGTTGACAATGGTGTGTGCTATTCGCGAGAGCTGAAAGTAGGAGCGTAATAACGTCGATTTTCCAGTTGCAGTTAGGCCGTATATGTTGACAAAGGGTGGTGAAGGTAGATGTGCCTGTGAAGGTATGAGCTGGTGTTTTGTGAGGCAACAACGCAGGGGCAACAGACGGCGTACAGCGCTGCAAGATGCTGAATTTGTTCTTCACGACACTGAAATTCGGCATTAAGCTGTGCAATAATTTCCTCGGGCAGCATCACGTTAAGATGCGTTGCAGTCTGCCTAGATGGCGATGCGTTGGGTCGTGAGGGCTGGGCCAACTGTGTCGCGCTACCTTTGACTTGGCGTAGACGCGAACACACGTGCACTGCCTTTATTTACAATTCACGTTACTTCACAATTCACTTCACACCACAATTCACTTCACACCACAATTCACTTCACACTGCAAGTTATTCCACTAAAGTTATTTTACACTACCATTCATTTCACGCTTCACTCTACAACTACCTCACACTAGTAATAGCACTGTTTTGATTACGACATCGCTACACGCTAATGCCTGATGACAAAATCTCTATGCCTAAGCCTAACAGTTCATTCTTGTTTTTGAAAAAACTCTTTTACCATACTTCACGATACTAGAATATTGCTGTTCCATTGACGTGCGAACTGACACCACCTGCCATGATTAGCCGTATCCTTACTTGGCGCATGCCTCAAACTTACCTGGACAGTTTGCAGGTGCAGAAGAAAAGAAGAAGAACCATCTGTTCTTCTCGCGGCACGTCTTTGCTAGCTTTTCCAGATCCAGCATTTCACCCAGTGGCATACCCCAGAGCGCCAAGATGTATTCGTGCAGGTGATAATCTAGTACTGTCAGTATTCGCACTATCAGTGAAAACGTTGTAGTTCGCTCACCCTCATGCGTAGGCCATGCCTCAAACGCAGGCGCATCGCCAGCAACGGAGGCAAAGTAGCAATCGTGCAGCCAATCGAGAATCTTTTGCTCTTGACTCACACCCGCGTACCGTAAGCCGTCTTCACCATCCTTTCCGCTACCGTGGCGTGTTGCTGCCCTGGTCCGTTCCTCGTCACTCTTGCTGTCATATGCCTCCTTCCAGCCGCTCCGAATGAAGAGCATATCACCAAGTTTGATGTCACCGCCCTGAGCCGCGGGTCGAATGTCGACACCTTGGTCTTTGCCACATTGGTACAGCTCCTCCCATGAGATAGGATAGTAGTCGAATGGATCGTAGTTGATACCCTTCTTATGCGCATAGCCTCTGTAGTCGAGCAAGATACCTCGACCAGCTATACCATGCTCAGCCCAGTGGTGAATCGAGCACTTATGATTGGCGGTTGGGCCTGTTATATCACTACCCTTGGCCTAGACAGAGATGAGTATGCAGTAATTCGGAATTTCGAGGTAACACTTGCGCCATTGTAAAAGGATCCACTTGGAACATGGGCAAAGTGGCGAAAGCCGTCCCACTGTGTGCCACTTTGGGTATTGAGATGATAAATATCATCGTAAGCAATTCCTTCCACTAAAGTCTTGATTTCATGCTGAAAGACCTCGCGTCCAAATGCTGGAGTACCTGGGACATTCAAAGGCAAGCTGGTCGGTTGTCAGGAAGATCTCGACGCACCAATTGCAAGAGACTCACTTGACGGGCACAATTTCGCCACTTCTAATCTCCTTGGCTGCAGCTGCGACACGACTTGGCGTAAGAAGGTTGAGTCGACCAATCTAGACGCTTCATTAGCTACAGTATGCGCCTTGGATAGGCCGGAAATACGTTGTCATCATCTCCCCAGACCCAAGCAGCTTCTGCAGGTGCTCCGGCAATCTGAGGCAACTCCTTGCGGGTTGGAAAGATGGTGCTATTTGGGTCCCATGGTATGGTAGTTGCCGTCTTGTTCATGGTCAAGAAGTCTTTAATTTGGGTCAGGCGCTGCCCTGTAGTGCTCTTTGTGTCCGTCATTACGAGAATATAAATTGCTCTGCACGGTGAAGGCGTCAATCTTGAAAATGCTAAAAGTGCAAATCAAATTGGGATGTAGAATGATGATAACGATGTAGTGTATATATGACGACACTAGCTTCAAGGGAAACCCCGCAAATAGCGGATGCATTAGAACGGCTGCCCCGCTAACCAGACGATGCTTGATTATGTTATGGTGTCGATGGACCGAGGCATTGTAGGTGGTACTGATACCGGTAGTTTGCTCTTGAATATTCTTTGTTGACTCGCGCGGCCACGGTAGTACAAACAATGATACCACTATGTACTCCATCTCAATCTCTGTGCCTCAGGTTCCAAACAATCTAGAATTCTTTAAGCTCTGTGGACGAATATCGTATTGAGGTTCTCGATATATGCCGAGGTAGTTAGGGCATGGTAGCTTTCTGACGACGTCAGTTTCAGTATGACTTGGCTCACATTCAGCACGTCAACCGTTATCCAGGGACATTTAGCTACTTGTAAAAAACGACATAGGTGTTTTCCAATCCGATTGGAGAAGTTCTGTGCATCTTATCAGATTTCAAGTGCCAGCTTAGACTGCAACCATTATGTAAGCACGACGCTAGCACCTCACCCTGGCTCCACTTGACAGCTTGTCAACCAGGTGTACACATGATCTAATGGTATACCTCTTAAATGAAGTCTCTTAAACTACTTCAAATTGTGTTCAACCCCTAAAATAGCCCACAGTATCATTCTTCCGGACACTCTGAAGAAAGGTAACATCACAATTGGCTCAAACGGTACCTACGTCTACATGCGACAGATCACGAGTGTTTCTTTCTTTCTCATTTTTCCATTTCTAGCACCAATATTGATACACAAATTTACGACTCCATCCACAAGCTCAATGTCTCCTCTATCTAATTTGGATGAGGTTGCTTCTTCTTTGCTTTCTTTGAATGGTATGCGACTGCAGTCGTCGAAGTGTCTACAATCATTATGGGCCGGCTACGGTGAAATAGCACGCATCGTAGCAATCTCAGACAACCCGGAATCTACCACATCTGTCAATTCACAAACGCTCATTATGAAGCTAGTCACCCCTCCAGCGAGTAAAGCCGACGACGAAGGGCACACGCGAAAGATACTGAGCTATCAAGTAGAGCAGTACTTTTATAGCCAATTGGCACCACAAATGCCAGCATCTATACCGGTCGCCAGGTGTCTTGCAACTATCAACCAACCTCGCCCCAAGGGAGCATCCATTATAGCAATGATTCTAAGCGACCTTCGTCAAGAGTTTCCCATCGCGGGTGAGAAGCGCGATGCGCTGTCTCCCACTCAAGTCTCCTCTGCATTAGCTTGGTTGTCTGGTTTCCACGGATTTTGGTGGTCTCAAGTAGGAAATTTCGATCCTTCCTCGCTCGTCCTTCCTCCCCTTGAACAACTACGGCGGGATGATCAAGATACAAGTCAGCAGACCATCTGGCTAAATGGAGGTTACACATATCTTGCAACACGTCAAAAAGAGTATGCGAATCTGGCCCATGATACCGATAACGAATGGAGCCAGAAGCTCACCCAGACCATTGACGGAGACAATCAGGCGATTGCAAGATTAGTCGCTGCATTTCTTGCACCAAAACAGCATGGCAACTCCTCCATTACCGATTACCAGACTGTGATCCATGGAGACGTCAAGTCTGAGAATCTCTTTACAACAAACTCCGGTGATCAAGTCGCATTCTATGACTTTCAGTATGTTGGGCTTGGTCTGGGTGTCTGCGATCTCGCGAAACTCTTTACATGCTCTGTGCCATTGAGCATGCTCGTCGCCGATGAGACTTTACCTCCGCAACTACCAATGCAGCGCGGAGAAAGGGCCCTGCTCATGCGATATCTAAGCAAGCTGAAGGAAGAAAGTGGAAAAGAGTACGACTGGGAAACGTTTGTTCGTCACTGGGAGGTCGCATTGGTTGATTGGCTGCGATTCCAAGCTAGCTGGGGATTCTGGGGTAATACCGAGTGGCTTGAGGCGAGAGGAAGAAGTATTCTTAACGACGAGGGATGGAGGAAATTCGTCCGCGATGGCGTAGCCAGATCTGAGAAGGTTCAAGTGTAGCAATGACGAATATTTGCACGGATAGTGCAGCGTATTATGCCCACATGTCTATTTTCACGTCACACTTTACATGTGTCCCACACCTGCTCTTGAAAACGAAAGGGCATCACCCCTTGCTTGTAATCCAGTAAATATAGCAGCAATACAGTAAATAGGAAGAGGATAGAATTTGGCTAGATAAGATTGTACCAAACTGGGTTGGACCTGTCAAGTTGGGGATAGAGTGATTCTAAAAAACACGAAGGAAGATGTTACACCACATGGGCATATCTCAACCTTGCTGCATACAATAGCATATCGGCCGCACTTGGAGTGCCGATTTCGTATCGGTTGCATACCATGCCATTTTGTCGCTTCTTTCTGCTCAACGTCAGGTGTTTCTACTTCGACTGCAGCAAAACAATCAAGATGATACGTGTAATCTATCCTGAATAGAATATCCATGAGCAGAACAGCCCGAACCCTTACACTCAACAGTGTCCGTTTGTGTAATTACACTATTCATTGTTGATGGCCAGAAGCTGTGCTAAGAGCAGCTAGGTACAGTACTATGCGAGAGTCGCGTCAAGGGCCCCTGTGAAGATCACGAGGATGATAGCATGAGTCGGACGACAACCAGGAGAAGAAGGTAGTAGTTCCGAGTACGGGAGCGCCGACTAAAAATATCTTCACAGTAGAAGGCCTAGCATGCAAAGAGATATTTGGGACCTATATTGTAGTGGTGAAATACGAGCGAGTGTGGATAGGCAGAAAAGGGCCTTTGATCAGGTTACCCTATCTGATAGTTAGTATGTTCCCAGGAGAGGTCGGGTCAAAATCCCGACGCAGGTCGGTAACACGCAATACTAGGTACCATGGTAGTTAACGTTCGATAGCACTCGCCAGTCGGACTTCGACGGAACATTAGTTTCTAAAAGTAGTGCGCTAAGCCGTGGTTGTTTGGAAACTTTGAACTCTGCAATAAGCTTTGGATAGCATGCAACGTACAGTAGACACCAGTAGTTGTCGGGCGACTGGCTGCTCTGCCCCAATGCGGTCAGGCTGCTTTTTGGGACTGGACTCCCACAAAGCGGGGATGGTGATAGGCTTGGCGCCCAGCCACGACGGGAAGCCGACGACATCACCTAGCTTCTCTGCACAAAATCACACACCCTTCTACAGGTTTCATGCTTCGAAATTAACCAAAACGCTCTCCTATACATCTCTCGTAAAACCCCATGCACTCCCTATTCTGACGCTCGAAAGCGGCGGGGTGGATTCATGAAGGTGAAACCGTCATCGCGATCCCTCTCGTGCCATGACGAGCAGTTTCACCCAGAATACGACACCTCATAATCGACATCTCCTGATACCAGATGGCAATCTGTGAATGAGCGGGAGAAATCCCCTCCCAACGTTGACGGCTCGATCCCCGTGCGTGACTAATTCTCCTAGTTTAGGCCCGAAAAGAAAAAGGGGCCGATCCCTGGTCAATTGTCGTCATTTCTACCTAGATCTGTGCACAGGACTTGTACGAACAATGCGAATGATTGCTGTGGGTCATCTTGGCGCAGTTCTGTGGTACGCTAACTCGGAGTATTAACCCATGTCGCCCAACTTGCCGTATCGTGACCTCTCCTAGTTTGTACAGTGATTGATACGCAGTACCTACCTGTACCCTATCACTGTACAGATTGATATGTCGTACTTCTACAATACATCCTCGGATCTCTCATCAGCCCATCATCCTAGACCAACATCACCAACTTGGTCACCAGGAACGGATATATTACCGCATCAAAAGAGTTCGTACAGCATGGAGCAGTCGATCCTGCGCCCCGCAGTACCTAGTCTACCTGCCAACTTTGAACAGTCATGGCAATATTGGAAAGTGGACACCATCCGCGATCTCCATGCCGGTGTTTCTATATTCTCTCCGCACACGGGGCACAGTGGGCAAGCCAGCCGTGCTATACGAAGTGATCATGATTCTCGATATATCCACAAACTTCTCACGGCACCCGCGCCAGGCTAATGGGCTTGGTGGTGGTACAAATATCATGGGTATCACGGTCGCAATTCCACACGCGCATCTTCACATTCGTTCACGTTCCTAGTAATAATGGGGAAGTTCTCTCGTGCCATCGTCGCCCTTATTCTGGGCGCGCAAGTCGCCGTCTCAACACCAGTACATCCCCGCCTCCACCCGAATGCGATTGTACAACGGGCGGTAAACAATACGACGCCGACAGGCGGTATCTTGCCCGGTGCCTACATTGTCGAATTTGCGAATGACAATGAGACGCCAGAGACGTTTTATGCCTCCCTTGCAGCGAGCGGCGTAATAGTTGAACACCGCATGGATCTAAGCTTCCGACTTTTCAAAGGCGTTTCTTTCCAGCTCAAGAGCTCAGGCTTCAATTCAAGTGGCGGGGACTTCTTGCGTCAAATGAAGGCACAACCGCAAGTGGAGAATATTTGGCCAACCCGCATCACAACGCGCCCCACGGTGGGTGTGAACAGCGTTGCGGCACCTGATCAGCAGACGCGCATCAAACGCCAAACTACAGCGAACCGCACATTCTCCCCTCATGTAATGACGCAGGTTGACAGGCTGCACGCAGAGGGCGTGACGGGAAAGGGCTTCCGCGTTGCTGTCATCGATGGCGGCATCGATTATACCCATCCAGCACTTGGCGGCTGTTTCGGCCCAGGCTGTTTGGTTGAAGCTGGATACGACTTTGTCGGCGACAACTACACAGTTGGATTGTCGGAACCACAGCCTGATGACGATCCTCTGGACACCTGCGAAGGACATGGCACCCACGTCTCAGGCACCATTGCCGCTCAGCTCGAGGGCAACGAGTATGGCTTCACTGGTTCTGCCCCAGGAGCAAAGCTAGGTGCATACAGAATGTGGGGCTGCTCAGCGGCGTCTACAAATGACATTGAACTCATGGCATTTGCTCGTGCTGTTGAGGATGGTGCAGATATCATCTCGTACTCCAACGGAGACACCTCAAGCTGGGCGCAGGATGTACGCGCTGTTATCATTTCCCGCATTGTCGACTCTGGTATCCCAGTCGTCGTATCCGAAGGCAACAGTGGCTTTCAGGGTCTCTTTTTCGCTTCCACTCCAGCAACCGGACTCAGCATCACAGGTGTAGGAGCAGTCTCCAATTCGCTATTCCCGGCATTGCTTGACCAAGGCTCCTACACGACCAGCGCCAATGCTACCACCAATGGCACGAACGAGTTTAGCTTCTTGATGGGTGTTCCCAAATTCACTGCGCATACGACACTCCAACTATGGTCTGCTGCTGATGTGGACGATGCCTGCAAGCCGTTGCCCGATGATACGCCAGATCTGAGCCAGCGTATTGTGCTTTTGGAGTTTAAAGACGCACGAGCAACGCAATGCTATCCGCAAGACCAGGGCGCTAATATTGCAGCAAAGGGTGGGCGATTCATGGCGTACTATGAGCACAGTAACCTGACAATGCGCGACGAGACATACGTCTACGCTAATGGCATTGAAGGCGTAGTCAGGGTCGTTCCATATATTGCTGAGCGCTGGCTTTCTCTGCTTTCGCAGGGTACTACAGTCTCCGTGACTATTCCAGCCAACGGTACCAAGAAACAACTCGAGGAGCTCGAGAACAACCAGAGTGGCGGATATATCTCAGGCGATCTGAGCAGTTGGGGCCCAACCTGGGAACTCAGCATGACGCCAGAGCTCGTATCCCCCGGAGAAAACATCCTGAGCACGTGGCCTACGGCTATGGGTAGCTATCGCGTTCTGACAGGCACAAGTATGGCAACACCACTGGTCGCGGGCGTCTACGCCCTGCTCGGTGAAGTATACGGCAAGCTGGAACCGGTGCGCCTGCGCAGAATCCTCACACACACCTCTAAGCCACTTGCCTGGCATGACGGTAGGACTGCACATCCCGACATGCTTGCTCCAGTCACGCAACAAGGCGGCGGAATAGTGCAAGCTTGGAAAGCTGCGCGCACCACCCTCGAGATCGATGTTGACAGTCTAATGCTCAATGACACGGCACACTTTGTTGGCACCCACACCTTTAGTATCACGAACACTGGCTCCACAGACGAAATCCTCGAGTTGACCCATCGCAAAGCTGTCACGATGTACACCATGGATGCCCGATTCTCTCCCCTAACCCCAGGCTCGTTTCCCAACGCCATTGCAGAGTCATGGGCCACTGTTTCCTTTTCAGCCGACCGCATTACTGTTCCCGCCGGCCAATCTGCCAACGTGACCGTCGAAATTATACCGCCTGCAGGTCTCAACGCCACTTTGTTACCCGTGTACAGCGGCTACATTGCTTTATCTGACAAGCTTGTTCTGCCATATCTCGGCGTTGCAGGCAACATGCGCGATATCCCCGTTCTCGGGCCTGAGAATGCTTACCTTGCGACAGGCTTCGCACAAGTACCTGCGAATGCCTCTTATACGATCCCACGACCGGATCCCCAGAACCCGCCGGCCGTCGACCGAGGCGACATGATCAATTCGCCAAACATGTATATTAAACCTTGGGTTGGCACGAAACTTTTGCGTGTAGAAGTGCTACAGGGAAACACGATATTGGGAGCATTGGCTGGATTCCCACAAATGTTCCTACCTAGGTCTGATGAGCTGCGCGCATTCTTCAACGGATTGTTGGCTGACGGAAGGGTGCTTGACGAGGGGTCGTACAAAATGAGAGTCATGGCTCTGCGCGTCTTTGGTGACGAAGAGCGTGAAGAAGACTGGGACGTTGTTGAGTCGATTCCTTTTGCTATCAAGTACGCAGCATGATAGCGTTAGAGTGATGATTTGCGCTCAGGGCATTTTCTGAGCGAATCACCTCTATATATAGTATTAAGCATACTTTTATATCATACTATTATACTGTAACTACTGCTAAGTACATACTATAACATAAAAAAATTGCTCTTATTAGTTGTCAATAGCGTTAAAATTAGTTTATCTATCTTGTAGATAGTATTTTATAAGTGCTATTTCCCTAGCTTTTGCCCTTACGGCGTGGCTGCGGCGTGTTGTACAAGCGTTTCGACTTGGGCTCGTAACATTTAGTCGCTTCGTGTACGTATTGGTACAGTCTGCAGCTAGAAAAGGAACGGATTACGGCGACAATGAAGCTATGTGTTTTGATGTCGGCTCTAAGACACTTCATTCTTATCAAGATGGCATTTTGCACTGTCGCAGCAATAGCAAGAATCTACTCTTGTACCCCTGGTAAACCCGGTACGGTTATCCATCGTTTTACGCTATATCGCGCTTGATAGGATGATATTTTCCATACAGTAAATCATTCAAGGGTGACTAATCCTGACCTTTATCACTACGGTACAAAACCGGTTTATAGTAGCCATATTTATCTAAAGTAGACCATGAAGTAGTTTAAGTACGAGAAGTAAACCTAAATAGGGTTTACTATACTATATATTCTATAAAGGTAAACCACTTTTTAGTTTATGCATTATTAGTATTATATATATTAACTTTAGTGTCTATTTAAATATAGTTTATATAATATACCTAATTATAGGTTATATAGTAGATAGATATATAGCACCTAGGGGGAAAATTTAGTGTAGATAGAGGGCATGTAGTAGGTATAATTTAGTAGGGTTACTATACGGGAAGCAGTACTAGTAGATACCTAGGTAGTATAGGCGTGTAGTATACTACTACCTAGGTACGCTATAATAATAACTAAGAGACTAGGTAGTATACCTAGTATATAAAATTACAATCTAAAATATCCTATAATAATAGGTTAGTAAGTTCTACAAAGGCGCCTATTGCAACAACACTCCTATATTATAGTGTAGTAGTATTACTAAAGATTATACTCTACGTTATAAATATTCTAGGGCAAGTTAGTTGCTTATACTATATATATTATAGGTTTCTTTAGTAGTATATTAGTTTAAAGTTAGGTATGTGTATATATTATTATATATACTTGTTGCAGGAGGGATATCAACCGGATCACGGAGCATCTTGATCCGATCAATCCCGATCAATACCCCTGTATGACCCACTATCTGATCGACTGCCAGCTCACTGCCAAGTGCCCAACAAAAAGCAGGAGCTCTGGTAAGGAAGGTTTACTAATCATTCACCTTCTGGTAAGGGTAGCTGAAGCTCTATATATATGAGTCCGATCGTAGTAGATACAATCCAATGATCCATCTCCCAAATCATTCCTAACCTTAGTAATCCAATTTTCCACAATACTATATTATATATAGTAGTAAAGGGGTAGCATAATATAGTAAGCTTGTGTAGTGTAGGATATATAGTAATATTATATTATATTATTTATATATACTAATATTATATATATATATTATTTAACTTATATAGTTAGGACCCTCTTATATTATAATTATCTATAAACCTAGACACTATTATTACTATTACTATTATTTAGCTCTCCTATACCGCTACTATCTATACAAGGGGCATCTGCAATAGATGCTCTAGTTTATATTAGAGACTGCCGTGATTTTAGGCCTTATACTCTAGAAGTATTTCTCTTATTACTATTACCTTTAGCCTTAGCTTTAGTTATATAGTTACGCCTAGCCTTTATGTTCCTAATATATATATTCTTGCAAGTCTATGTTAGTAGAGTAGAATCTAAAGTCTCTATTAGAGAGTCTATAATAGTATAAGGTTAGCGTTGTTACATGTCTAGTAGTGTATTATAGTTATCTTCTATAGGCGTGTTTTTATAAGTATCTAGAGTAGAATTATTTAGTTAGGCTAGTATACTATATAAATAGGTTTACTTTTATAGTCTTATATCTAGCTATACTAGTACTTGTTATAATCTAACACTGCTAGCTAGGGGCACACTAACTATTAGGTTAGGATACTAACCCCTAAAAACGCTACTATTACTATCCTAGGCACCCTAGTCTTTAAAGCTAGTAATACTACTAGTATATTTAGTTTAGGGTAGACGTTGTCTTTATATATATTTAATAGGATAGGGTAATACTAGCTTACTTATAGCCTATAATAAGTCTTAGTTTAAATATTAGGGAGTGTTGCTATAGAATCCTAACTAGGCTACTACGTAGTTATAGTATATACCTAAACTACTATAAATAAAGTTAGATATTAGCCACTAGTATCTATATAGACCTCTGTATATAATAGACCTCCCTAGGCTAGGGCCTAAGGATATTAGTTTGCGAACTTTTGCTGTTAAAGTACGAAAAAATTGGCTTGTGCGTTAGGACGCTAGACAGCAAAAGCTAGCTTGGCAAGGAATATTAAAACTTTTGCACGAACTTTGCCGCTAAAACTAGTAAAAGGATACTAGACAGCAAAAGTACGCTAGACAGCAAAAGCTAGCTTAGCAAGGAACATTAAAACTTTTACACGAACTTTGCTGCTAAAACTAGCAAAAGGACGCTAGATAGCAAAAGTACGCTAGATAGTAAAAGCTAGCTTAGCAAGGAATACTAAAACCTAGACGCAAACTTAGTTATTAAAACTAGGGAAAGCTATGTAGTAGCTATTAACACTACAGTTTCCTATACTTATAGCAATTTAGCAATATCTATTTAATCCCTTAAGTAGCTAGAAATTATAGAAGAGGCGCAAAATTGTAGATATATAAACACTATAATAGTGTTAATAGGGGATAATAGTAGTATAGTAAGTGCTAGCAACTATAATAGGCAAAGCTAGTAATTATAGGGATCCTTAGGAATTTTCTACCTACACTGCGCCTAAAATGCTAGGCATAAGAGGACTAATAACCCACTAGGCATTTCCACGCTCTAAGGTAACCTAGAATAGACTAGTTAGCTATAGGGCATTTGCTACTTGCGCTATTATATTAGGTAAACTAGGGACTTTCTAGCTAAGTAATTTCCTGCTATTAGCTAGCTAAGCTTACTTTACTATAAAATTAAGTATTAGTTATATAGAATAGTATAGTTTACTAATAGGTGCTTTGCTATATCCCTATATTATATTAATAGCTAGGAGGCTACTAACTAAGAGTTAGGAATGTCTATATTATCTAATACTACCTTAAAGTTTCTCTACGTGTCTACTATAGGTAGAAGTAAATCTAGCAAGTTATACTCTCTAAGTTCTCTACTATCTACTATTTCTAATAATAGCTCCCCTAGTAGCTATTCTTCTTATAGATAGCTTAGTAATAATAGTTTAATTGCCTTAGCTATATCTTTAACCCTCTTATTATATCACGCAATTATTTTAATCTATTCTTGTAAGACCTATAGGGGTCTTCTTTCTATAAAAGAGTTTAGTACGCCACCTCTTAGTAGAAGGGCAAAAATCCTAACCCTAAACCTATCCTTTAACATTTTCCATTATTTGCTATATTCTAGGTACTAGGACTAGGATTAATAGCTTGTTAGATTGTCCTGCACTAATATAGTATTGCTATTCTTGTCCTAATAGACCTTACTAAATAACTACTCTCTTGCTACTATAGTAAGGCCCCTCCCTTGCTAACCTATTAACTTTACTCTCTACTACAAGAGGCCTTCTAAACGTTTATACTCCTTATATAGTGCTGCTATTACCTACTAGTGCTATATATCTCCTAAGATATTAGCTATTTTACTCTACTTTACTATAGCTAATAGCTAATAAAAGCTTGCAACCTTAATTCCTATAAGTGCAAGTCTTGTTCCCTGCCCTACGCTACGTGTCTAGGTAAGCTAGGTTACTAGCATACTTTTATTACCCGTGGCACATTCTATTATACTAGCGTCTATTAGCCCTAGCACCTACACCCCTATATTTATAAAGAGCCTCTTACCCTCTTAATAAAGTTCTCGCTAGGTATCTAAGACAACGCGCTAATCCTATAAATAGTTAACTATAGCTACTATACTTGCCTAGTGTATTATTTTAGTAACTTCCTTTATACTAATACTATATAATAACTTTGCAAATACTTAGTATTATTGCTTAGTAGAATTATATACAATATATTCTTGCTTAGCTTTAATAAAGTCCTGTGTATTTATAACAGCCTCTAATATAGCAATATTAAACTTCTCCTTAAGTTACTTGTTAACTTAGCAAGTTATAGGTTCTTTGCAGGTATAGGTGCGTTTTACAGTGTTTTTATTAAAGGAATCTAGCACTACGCTAATAGCTTCCTTATAGATATTATTAATAAGTTATAAAAGCTAGTCCTTACTAATATATTAATATATCTATTTTAGTGTAGCATCTAGGTTATATATAATAAATGCTTAGATAGGCTCTACTATGTGTGTAATAAAGTAGAATTTTAGTTTATCCTAGTCTACCTTGTTAAACACACTATAGACTAGGTAAGAAAGGTTAGTGTTGCCCTTAATCTCTACTAGAGATAATCCTAGAGTCCCTTAGGTTATAGTATAGGTAGTAGTGTCTAGGAAAAGTGCTATAAAGCTGTCTTGCATACAGGTTAAGTAGTTAGGAGCAGCTAGTAGGGTTGCTAGCGCAACACGCAGCCAAATTATTACACTAAGGTTAGTTAGTGCTAATAATTTACTAACGCAGGTATATAGAAATCTACCTAGCAAGGGGAATCCTTACACTACACACTCCTTATTCTAGCTATAGTTTTGCAATATTATCTCCCTTAATACTACCTATTATATCTTTATTATTTCTATATTCTAAAATATCCTCTACTATATCCTTGCTCTCCTGCTATCTTAACCTAAACAAAGTCTATAGGATCCTTATCTACGCTTTATATAGAACTATTATCCTACCTAGCTGTGTTAAAAAATACTTTA